CTAGCGAAGAAACTCTTCCTTAACCAGTCCAGCACAGGCACTTTCCAAGACAGTCAGGCAGTCCGTGATCTCACCCGCAAAATGCCGCCTGATGATGTGCTTGTAAGGTGGGAGGTTGGTACATTCCAGCAAGATAGCTCTAATGCCCGGAGACCGAGAAAGAGCAGAGCATACCAGCTCGTCTATGTCTGCCTCTGCTTGCTGGAAGTCGAGGTGCTTCAAGTCTTCAGAGATGACTTTGTAGAGGTGCATGGACTTCTTGAGACCGACTACAGGTCCTTCAAATCCGTCCAGAGCTCTGCTGTAAGCGGGGGCGCCAAGCACTTGTGCGTCGAAGGTCAGTATCAAAATCTCCTCGTCGCGGAAGCGCGCGCGCAGAGTTGGCAAGGCCACCAGGGCGGAGCTGAGGAAGGTCTTCTCCGTCCGCGCCGCCAGCGCCTTCTGGAAGTAGGCCAGGAAGCCACAGGAAGTGCTCACCACCTGTAGGGGCCCCCAAAAAGCCGCCTAAACATAAGGATCCTACAAACAGGGCTTTTTGGAATCCCCCTTAAAGGTTCCCTTAGACCCCAATAGTAGGATCCTTGTGTTTATGTGGCTCGTTGGGCCCCTAACCTTGGCGTCCGCGGCCGCCACGGCCGAGACGAACCCCGTGATGTCGAGTGCTTCAGGGTCGGCGCTCACAACGTCCGCCACTTGAGCCTCTTGGGATGGAGAGCTCGGACAAAACCTTGAACTTTGCTCTGAGCCTGATAAGCCCAACTGCTGAAACCCCCGCACCCTCATAATGAGCCTAAACCCTGTACTATACCAAAGGCCCGAAGCCTTTGGGACAATCTCGATGCGCATGGGAAGTGAGTAGGTCTCTGGACAGGCGATGTCCCCCGGCACACGCGGGAAGCGCGTGTCGAGCTGCAGCACCACGAGCGCGTCGGCCATGGCATCCACCCTTCACTACCCTAAAAACAAGGATCATAATGGGAACCCCAAAGAGGGAACCACAAGAATAGGGTAGGAATAGAAAGGGAAAGTACGGACCCTGGTAGGGAAAATCCCCGTTCTATTCCTACTATATTGTTTGGGGTTCCCTGTCTTGGTCTAGAGGGTTAATGCCTTAGGGTTTAGTCTAAGCATACTTCAGCACACCCCAAACCCATACCCCTTAACCTTTTGAAGGAGAAATATAGGGAAGGATTTTACCACGCCCCCCCCCCCCCTTCATGTCTTTTGAATGACATGCCCAAGGGGTATGAAGAACAATTCTTAGATGTAGGGTTTATGCCTCAAGGTTTAGGGGTCTTAGGTCGGAGAAAGGCCGTAAACCTTATAAGGGTTCAGGGCATGTCTAGCGGCTTCCTTGTGCAGCAACCCGGACAGCAGCAAGCTGTATTTAGGGTTTAGGGTTTAGGGTTTAGGGTTTAGGGTTTAGGGCAGGCTTAAAAAGGGAAGAAGCACTCACTGGGGTTTATACTCCCCTGAGCCCCCCAACCCTAAACCACAATGCCTCCAGTCAGAGCCTTGAATTTTACAGGAGTCCCGAAGCTAAGCCCAGAAACACAAACTTCGGGGTTTAGGGCTGAGGGTTTAGGGTTCATTCAGGGTTTTGGGTTTAGGTTGCTAGAAGGGTTCATCGGCTATGGAAGCCCCAAGCCCAACTTTCTGTTTCTCCAACTTTCGGGGGTCGCTTGGGCGCCCGGGCGGGTTGCGGGTCGTTGCTGATGCGGTCCAGCCAGGAGTTCAGTGGATCCACCTTTGGCTTATCATGATTGTCGATCATCTTAGGCAGGGTTGAGGGTATAGGGTTTAGGGTTAGTTGTTGATCATCTGAGTCGAACCATATTATAATAAGGGCGCCCTTTTTGGGGTTGGTTACTGGAGACGGGAGCCCAGAACCCAACATATATTCCTGACTTTTTCAGGGTTAAGTGTTAAAGGTTTAGGGTTTAGGGTGTAGGGTATTCCTGAGTATGATCCATTAACACCAAAATCAACAAATGTCCCAAGGGCCTATCGAGTAACCGGACCAACTGGGAGTTTACGAACATAGGGGGCTCCAACAAAAAGCACCACAACCCCTAAACCCTAAACCCTAAACCCTAAACCCTAAACCCTAAACCCTAAACCCTACACCCTAAACCCTAAACCCTAAACCCTAAACAAATTAATGCCTAAACCGCAAACCCTTGATCATACCCGGATGTTGAAAATCTTGCAGCTTCTGGGGCTTTCAGCGCTGCTAGGGCTTCGGGTTTGGGGCTTAGGGCTTCGGGGTTTAGGGATTGGGGTTTAGGGTTTAGGGCTAGGGTTTAGGGCTTGGGGCTTGGGGTTTGGGGAGTTAGGTTAAAGGCTTGGGGTTTAGTAAGAGGGGCTTCGGGCGGTTTAGGGCCATGCCATTGGGGTTTAGCTGGTAAGGCTTTTGACCGGGATTTCAGGGTTCAGGCTTTGAGAGGGTAAAGAATGCCAAGACCAAAAGGCATAAACCGAATCCCTGAAACCCTAAGACTCGAAGACGTTGAAGCCCTAAAACTACTGAAGCAACACACCCTTAGAGCCTTAAAACGGCTACCATCTTTGAGCCCCCCCCCAAACCCGAAAAGCCAACCACAAAACCTAAAGAGACACCTTAAATCACTTCTCAAAACTTGAGCAGAACCCAACAACAAACCCTTCAACAAAAGCCTAACAAAACCCTCTAAATCCTAAACCCTAAACCCTAGGCCCTAAACCCTAAACCCTAAACCCTAAACCCTAAACCCTAAACCCTAAACTCTAAACCCTAAACCCTAAACCCTAAACCCTAACCCTAAACCCCAAACCCTAAACCCTAAACGCTGTAGACCCGGACGGGCAGGAAGTAGCCCCGCTCCCTGAGGATGGTCAGCCTTCAGAGTTTCTAAGGTTTAGGGCTTTGGGGCTTAGGGTTTTTAGGGGTTAGGGCTTAGGGTTTCGGGTTTAGGGCTAGGGTTTAGGGTTTAGGGTTTAGGGCTAGGGTTTAGGGCTTGGGGTTTTGGGTTTTGGGATTAGACTACGCTTTCTGGGGTTTCTGGGGTTTGGTTTAGTGTTTAGGGTTTCGGGGGGGGGGGGGGGGGGGGGGGATGTTCCCCCTTATACTAACAGTCGGACTAGGTAACTGGATAGGGGATACTATGATCTCTATTAAGGACTTTTGGTATAAGTGTGAATCCCAATCCGTCGGGTTCAATGTGAACCCTAAACCCTAAACCCTAAACCCTAAACCCTAAACCCTAAGGTTTAAGGTTTAAGGGTGTGGGCCCATTGTACAAGCCCTTGTTCGAGGCAGCCCGAGTCTTCGCCGCCGTGGAAGGGTTGTCGATTTTGGCCCTTCTCGATGAACCCTAAACCCTAAACCCTTAACCCTTAACCCTGAGGGGGGGAGGGGGTTGGTTACGCCCATTCTCTTGCGCGCAGCCGGGGACATCGGTATTCACAACGTTTTGTTGCTGCCGGGCCTGGTGGCTTCTGCTCAAGATGCTCGCCAAAATCGTCGATTTCTCGTCTTTGCTTTTTAAGGCACTTCGGGGCTTGTTAGTGGGCTAGAAGTACAGTGATAATTGGTTGAATAAGTCTCCCTTTGACGGAAAAACGCTCTGTTTTTGCCGGTTTTCATCACACCGAAGAACCTTTGCTTGCTTTTTTGGTTGCATCTCTTGGGAGGGCGGCCCGGGCTGCCGGGTTTAGGGTTTAGGGTTTAGGGTTTAGGGTTTAGGGTTTAGGGTTTAGGGTTGCAGTTTCTTGTTTGGGTCGTGGCTGTGGGTCTCTGTCCTCATGCATAGGATCCCACTTCAGGGCTTAAGGATTCGAGATTAGGGTCCCAGTAGGGCTCGTGAAAATCCTTATCTTGAAGAGGGTTTTTAAGTCGAATTTCAGGTTCCCCACATCAAGATCCCAGAGAGATCTTATTCAAATATGGGATTTGTAGCACTGTGGCCTAAACCCTGAACCCCAAACCCAGCCCTAGATTTCAAAAAATGCTTAACAACGCTGAGGGTGCCCTCCCCCTCACCCCCCAACAGACCGACAAACCTTTTTCTGACTTAACCACCCCTTTTCAGAACCCCCCCCTCCCCACCCCAAAAAAACCACTCACTCACTCACAGGCTCTGAGGCATCCAAACTGTCCATGTCTCGAAACAACAAGACAATAGTACCCTAAGCCCTAAGCCCTAAGCCCTAAGCCGTAAGCCCTAAGCCCTAAACCCTAAACCAACAAACAAGGCCCATCAAGAAGCTTTGGCGAGGCCTCCCAAAACCCTTGAACCCTCATCCCGAAACCCCAAACCCCATAACCCGAAACCCTAACTAAGCCCTAACTACTGCGTTTTTCTCTAAATTAGGCTCCCTTCTGTTATGTCCTATATATATATATACATATAGAGAAAGAGAGAGGGAGAAAGAGAGAGAGAGAGAGAGAGAGAGAGCGAGAGGGAGAGTACAGCACCGTATGAAAACGACCCCTGAGAAGCGACTCTAATTTAGAGAACTGCCCCACCTAAACCTCAACTTAGATCCTTGAGCCATGGCGCTTGTGGCGGCCCTTGCCGGGCGAAATGTTTAGCCCCTGCGCCTGGGGGGGGGGGGGGGGTAGGAGAGCTCGTGCAAGAAGTTTAGGGTTCGGGCCGGGGGCTGCCTCAGGGCCTCAGGGCCTTGGGGGCCTAAACCCTAAACCCTAAACCCTAAACCCTAAACCCTAAACCCTAAACCCTAAACCCTAAACCCTAAACCTAAACCCTAAACCCTGGAGGTTTTAGAGTGCAGGATTCTGGGCTGAGAGGTTGAAGGGGACCTCAGCCCTGAAAGCCCGTGACCAGCACGGCATGAGACCCGAACTCTACAACTCTGAAACTCCCAAATCCCCCAGGGCTTAGGGTTTAGGGTTTAGGGTTTAGGGTTTAGGGTTTAGGGGTTAGGGTTTAGGGTTTAGGGTTTAGGGTTTAGGGTTTAGGGTTGGGCCCTAAACCCTCAACCCTCTACCCTAAACCCGGGGGGGGGGGGGGTTGAGGGTTCAGGGTGTTGGATTTAGGGTGTATGGTTTAGGGACCCGACCAACTGAAAAACAACTCCATATAGGAACAAGGGTACCACCCCTTTTTGTCGCGCTCCGGTTGCCGGGCTCGCGTACGACGCGCTCCTTCCTCCTACATGCTGTAGGGTTCTAGGTCTCGGGTACATTTAGCTAGGGCTTAGGGCTTCGGGCTTAGGGCTTGGGGCTTGGGCCTAGGGTCAAGGGTTTCCACTGCAGGGCGTTGAGGATTTTTAGGGCTGCAGGGCTCCGGGTTTGGGACTCAGCGTTGGGGTTTAGGGTTTAGGGTTTAGGGTTTAGGGGTTAGGGTTTAGGGTTTGGGGTTTAGGGTTGGGGGTTCCTTGGTTAGACCCCATACCAACACCTGGCACGGCCAGGATTCAACTACCTGAATCGCTCGGATGCATGGCCGCTGGTTCATGGTTTTGCTAGACAAGTTTGCCCAGTAACCTAAATCAACTTGAAGACCCTAAACCCTGCACCCCAATTTCGCTCCCAATCCGTGGTGGCTCCTTGGCTTTAGGGTTTAGGCTTCAAAGCTTCGGGCTTAGGGCTTCTCATGCAGTTCTCGTAGGCATGGAGGGTTCAAGGTTGAGGGTCTTTGCTTGAGGGCGTATGGTCCAGGCTTGTGACTGGGTTTGCGCCGTAGGTTCTCCGGTCTACGCAGTAGCGGCGCGATGAGGGATAACATGCACCAGCCAGTTAGCTTCGGCCCTCAATATGCATAGTTTGGAATTCAAGGCCTAGGAATAAGGGTGCTGGACTAGAAATCAGGACTGGCTTCTAGCTGCGTAACGGCCATGCGGCAGTACTTCTGCCGCCATCTGTGCACAGACACCCCGAAGAAGCAAGTATCATGGAAACGCTTGGGGTTCAGGATTTGGGGGTTTAGCATGTGGGGAGTCCTCAGTCAGGGTCGGGTCCTCATTTTGGGGGCGCGGCACGATATAGGGGACCCCACAAGACTCCCTAATGGAGTAGTGGTCAAGGCTTTTTACCTAGCGGGGGTTGTTCTAGAGTTGGGTCCCCTTACACTGGGCGCGTCTTCTTTACGTAGAAGCTCTCATGACAAGGACCCCCTAAACCCTAAACCCTAAACCCTAAACCCTAAACCCTAGACCCCAAACCCTAAGCCCTAAACCTAAGCGCTTCATCTAAAGAAGACCCCCCCCCCAACTCCCCCGGCGCCAAAAATGGAGAGCTTTGGGGCTTGAGGATCGCCAGGGTTTAGGGTTTAGGGTTTAGGGTTTAGGGTCTAGGGTCTAGGGTCTATAGAGGGTTTAGGGTTTGCATAGTTCGTAAACTCTTGGAGGGCATGGGAGACGGGATGCCCTCAATCCCCGAACTCGAACCCATATAAACCCTAAACCATAAACCCTAAACCCTAAACCCTAAACCCTAAACCCTAAACCGTGCTTAGGATGCACATTCCGAGGTCTGAAGATGTCTGACATCGCAGGCGGTGCATGTTCCCGGACCCTAAACAATCCGTAAACCCTGCATAACTTACTATATTTCATGAAGAGGAATGGGGGGGGGGGGAAATGTGGTTGCTAATTTTTCCATGCATATCCTCTTGGAGGACTGTCCCTATTAAGATCGAGAAAGTCGTGCTGGACATATCAGGGCTTACGTTTTAAGGCTTAGAGCCTTGCAGCTGTTACAAGACAAAAGGAGCATCCCTTTTTAAGTGGGCTCATAGAATGCCAGTACTCCTAGCTGTCCTAGAAATCAATGCTGGCTCTGCAATCTGGCTGTCTTCAGGAGCTCTTGCGCGAAATCTGACTATTTTTGACTGCCGAAGCGGGACGTTACGCTACACCCTCAACCCAAGGACCACTGGTCTTTAGGGTCTAGGGTTCGGGTTTGGGCTTAGGGTTCCTTGTTCATTGTTGGGATAATATTAAAATTTTAAATTTATATTCCTTATTGGGTTTAAGTACCCTTAAAAATGTAAAATGTTACCCAACTATGACAAAGGTTCGGGGGTTCGGGTGTCAGGGCATGGGACACCTCAGGGCTCTCCCAGGGCATCGCAAGGAAAATCGCATATCCCAGCGGTCGGCTCATAGCAGAGCGGTCAAGTTTCACCTGAAGTGAAGTTCCGGGTTTATAAGGGCTTATGATACAAGGTGCGGGGTTCAGGAACAAAACTCGTGCTTATGAGCCCTAGGTCAGCCTTAAGGCCTGAGCCCCTCCTCGCAACCCCCCCCCCTGAACCGCCCTAAACACCAAGCCTTCAAAGCCCAAAGGAACTTCTGAGAATCTAAGAGGCTATAGCCCTAAACCCTAAACCCTAAACCCTAAACCCCAAACCCTAAACCCTAAACAGTGAGTGGGATTCGATTCCGCAACTCCTGGGCTAAAGGTAAAACTGTCTATACCTCTACAGACCTGTGCTGTCTCTAGATGGGTTTAGGGGGAGGGCACCTTACTTAACTAATCATGTTCCCTGAGCCCTACAAACCCAGCAGCCTAGCTTGTCCCGCACGACCTCAGGATGTGCTCGGATCTATAAGGTTTAGGGTTTCGGGTTTAGGGAATAGGGCTAGTGACATGGTCCCGTAGTAGTTCCTTAAATGGGGACCGCTTTCCCAGGCCTGACATGCCCCGTAAAACCCAAGGGCCCTTACTTACGCAGCTACCGAATTGGTTGAAGCTAGGCTGCCCAGTAACCTAGGCTTAAAAAGGGTGCCCTTTTTTGCTTAAAGGGGTTTATAAGGGAACCTAAACCCCCCAAGAAGGGAATAAGGGTACTACTGGGCAGCCTAGGAAGGAAGCCCCAGCACCGTCAACCTGCCAAGCTTCCAGCATGCGGAGTTGTTGGGTTTTGGGCAGATGGGGGGGGGGGGGGGGTTCGGCAACTTCGGTATGTACACGAATGTTCAGCCCCACAAGCCTGAACCTAAACCCAAGCGATAGAGCTCAAGGCTTTGACCCTCGAAGCACTCGAAACCCTACAAGCCCGAAGGGCTAATGCACCCGTCCATACCTGAAGGTTCATGGTACTTACTAACCAAATATAATGTACTTATAACCCTACTTATAATACCCCTAAGGGGCCTTATAGGGGTTATCCCAATTACAAGTAGGGTTATAAGCCCAGTTATAATTGGTTAGTAAGTACCATGAACCTTCAAGTAGCCACTTGTGGGTGCCAAGTCGCTCGCGCTGCTGGACACCGTCACCCCAGGAGGTACGTTAACAAAGAGGCGTTGGACCTGCATGGTCTGGGTTTAGGGTTTAGGGTTTAGGGTTTAGGGTTTAGGGTTTAGGGTTTAGGGTTTAGGGTTTAGGGTTTAGGGTTTAGGGTTTAGGGTTTAGGGTTTAGGGCTTGGGGTTTGGGGCTTGGGGTTTAGGGTTAGGGTTTATGTGTCTCCAAGTGGACTTTTTCAGGCCATCAGAAGCCGTAACTCCACTCAAAACCCGAAACTTAAAACCCTAAACCCACACAAGTCTTTGGTGACTCAGCTTCTTCATTGGGGAAGCTCGGCCGCTGGGGTGTGGTGGGAGGGAGGTAGTCCATAAATAAAACGTTGAGAGCCCCCCCAAAAAACTCAAAACCCGAAAGCCCTAAAATCCTGCAACAACTCAGGGTAACTGCGAAATGCACGCGCCGCTACGCTAAAGGCTACTGCGCAGCAGAGGCCCGATACCCTAAACCCTAAACCCTAAAAACTAAACCCTAAACCCTAAACCCCAAACCCTAAACCCTAAACCCTACACCCAAAACCCTAAACCCTAAACGGCCTGCCCCGGCCATTGCCGCGTTTAGAGGCGGACCACCTCCTCGGCATCATCGCCCTGGCAGCTGAAGGCATGATCCGGGTTTTGGGGTTTAGGGTTCTGGGTCTATAGGGTCTAGGGTCTGGGGTTTAGGGTTTAGGGTTTAGGGTTTGGGGTTTGGGGTTTAGGGTTTGGGGTTTGGGGTTTGGGGTTTAGGGTTTAGGGTTTAGGGTTTAGGGTCTAGGGTTTAGGGTTTAGGGTTTAGGGTTTAGGGTTTAGGGCGGGGTTGTGAGGCCATGAATGGCCACGAAGCGCACCAGCAGGTACGACTTAAGGGTTCCGACAAAATCCCACGAGTAGCACAGGTGTTTGTACTTTGATCCTCCCAGATAAGACTCGACTGTGCGGAAGGTACACCCCCCCCCCCTTTGTTAAGGACTTCTGTGCGCTTCGCTGGTTTCAGGCTTTAGGGTTTCAACTTTGCGCTATCGAATTTAGTAACGATGTAGTAGTTTTTCTAGTAAGTTAGGGTTCAGGGCCCAGGACGATTCTTAGAATTTGGGGGTTTTTAGAATCTGGGGTTCAGGGTTTCGGGCTTCAGCGATCATCCGGGTTTAGGGTCTTAGGGTCTAAGGCTTCAGGGTTTAGAGGTTGCAGCTGCCCTGAAAATTAAACGGCTTAGTATTTCTATGCCTGACAAACCTCAAAGCCCCACGAGTAAAGCCCTAAACCCTCACGTTTTCCCCCTCCTACTTGAAGGATCATTCATGGGCAGGTAAAAGTAGGGTTAGGGTTTAGGGTTTAGGGTTTAGGGTTTAGGGTTTAGGGTTTAGGGTTTAGGGTTTAGGGTTTAGGGTTTAGGGTTTAGGGATTAGGGTTTAGGGTTTAGGGTTTAGGGGTTATAAGCGGGTAGTTAAGCCAGGCCTAGACTATAACCTTAATAAACGTACTTTAGAACCCTTTTGACAACTACCCATGAACCTTCCAGTCCCCTAAACCCCTAACCCCTAAACCCTAAACCCTAACCCCTAAACCCTAAACCCTAAACCCTAAACCCTAAACCCTAAACCCTAAACCCTAAACCCTAAACCCTAAACCCTAAACCCCCCCTTAACCCTCAACCCCGGCCTTGATGTGCTGCTCCTTTGTTCGACCAATTCCGTACACTCGAGGCTGGTGACCTCGCACCGCATCTCTAGGTCTCCAGGGTTTAGGGTTTAGGGTTTAGGGTTTAGGGTTTCAAAGGTTCTGCAGGTTCAGGGTGTAGGGTTTCGGGTTTAGGGTTTAAGGTTACAAAGCCTAAACCCTAACCCTCAACACTAAACCCTAGGCCCTTTAGGCTTTGTATGGGGGAAAGGGGGTCTAGGGTGGTTAGGCACTCGGAACAAGCCACAAGTCGCGAAAGTCGGCCCTGCCCCCCCCCCCCCCCCCCCCCCCCCAACTCGCTATAAAAGAAAAGTCTTCGAAGGTTCGCTCAGACCAGGCTCAGACCAGTGGTGGTACTGTACTGAAGAGAGGGGTTAGGGCCTGTTGAAATTGTATGGGGCTTGGGTCCAACACGTTTTGGGCGAGCTTGTTCTGTTGCGCTTGAACGGGCTTTGGGTGCGTTGACCTGAGAAGTCGAAGAAGGTGGTGGGCGCACATTTTGGGCGCGAATTGAAGTTGTACCCAGAACTCGAGTGAAGTTATGGGCGAACAATTTGGGCACCATGTAGACACCCTGGCAAAGCCTGTAACTGCAAACCCTCAAGCCAACACCCTAAACTCTCATTGCCTTCTTCAACATGGATGTTTGCTCTCCCAGGACCTATAAGCCACCCCAGGCTGGGCTTGCTGCGAAGGAGAGCTTGAGATGCGCGAAGTATGTTGCCGAGGCTTTATAGGGTCTGAAGGGTCAGAAGATGACACGGCGGGAGCTCTGAGCCCCAACCCCGAAACCCTTAACCCTGAAACTTAGGTTACAGGCCTAAACAGCAGCAGCCCACGAGGCTGCCCAGTAGCACCCGTAATTCCCTGTTCGAGGGGGTTCGGCTCCCCCCCCCCCCAGGCCTCCCGTGCGAAGCAAAATGTGAGTCGACCGCAACACCTGCGCCCACTCACAACAAATGCGTGTCTAGGGTTATTTGGGGGTTTGGGGTTTGGGGTTCAGGGTTTAGGGCTTGTTTCGCCGCAAATCCCTGAACCCCAAACCCAAAACCCTAAATCCTAAGCCCTAAAGCCTCAATCCTAAGCCCTAAGCCATGATTAAGCCCCAAAACCCCAAGCCCCAAGCCCCAAGCCCCAAGCCCGACGCCCTAAACCAAAAGCCGTAAGCCCTAAACCTGGCGCAGAATGGCTCATGGATTCGGCTGCAGGGCTTTTAAGGAGATCAACACTTCTGCGTATTCGGGGGTTTACGAAAATAAGGGACCCCCAATATAGACCCCAAATAGTAGGATTCCCTTATAATAAGGACCCCAATCAGGCACCCCCCCAACTTCGGAAGCCCCCCCATTTGTGTACATGTAAATGGCAAGTTTTTAGGGTTTAGGATGATGGGCTTGCGGTTTGAGGCTTTGCTGTTGGGTTAACTGTCGACTCAGCTCTAATGGCTCAGGGCCAAACTATGGCCAGAAAACGGTTTCGGGTGCAGGGTTTAGGGTTTAAGGTTTAGGGCTTAAGGTTTAGGGTTCAGGGTCCAGAAACCCATCTAGCGTTTCGTTCTTCAGTGGCTTCCCCTTTCGTCCTCTAGAGGTACCCAGACCCAGATAAGCCTGCATGAGGCAGTAGTAGAGCTCGAACTCTATTCGCAGGTCGTTGTGCTCCCTCGCCATCTTGATCGCCTACGCATGAGAGGTGCTTGCCTTAAACCCTAGTCTTTAGGGTTCAGGATCACTAAATCTGCAGTAACACTTGGCTTACAGTACTATGCTGCACCTTGTGCTCATGTTTATGGGGTCTGGGTTTAGGGCTTGATCTAATGTTGGGCTTTTCTGGGGACCATAGCGTTTATGGGAACCTAAAGGACCACAACCTCTTTCAGGGGTCATTGATAGTCACCAAGGCTGGTTTCGTCATAGGACCCCCCTCCCCCCCTTACCTAGAATGCATTATGCCTAATTGCCCTTATCATGCGCATCCGTCGCTGCTCGCCCGCAGTGCCGCATGTGGTCACGTCGGAAACCAAGAACACCAAGGTAGCGATGAGTCCCTCTCCTACGTGTTTTAACACACTGGGATTCCATCAATAAAAAAAATGCCAGCTTGCAGGTTCAAAGCAGGGAACTGCGATGGCACGTCGCACCATGGTGGTGGAGCACATCTTTCTCGCCTTTTCCGTCGGGCACCACACAGGGTGTGGCAACCTTGCTGTGCGCTTCGGAAGGCGCAAAACTTACAGGAAGACGAGCTCTTAGAGGGTCGACCTTTGCGGCATCTGCAGCATGAAAAGGCCGCCCCATCATCCAAAACCCATCAAAAAACAGCAGACGCAACTTTACGAATTTTGCCTAAATAGGTAACACAGAGCCCTAAACCCTGAACCCTAACCCCTACACCCCCTGACCCTGCCTAAGCAAAAGCCTCTGCAGACCACCGATCGGGCGAAGCTTAAGAACTAGTCGCTCAAAGGATGTAAGGTCTAGAGTTTAGGGCGCAGGGTTTAAGGTTTTTCTAAAATTCTATGCATGTGTAGGGTTCAGGGTTGAGGGCTCAGGGCTTTCAGGGTTTAGGGCACAAGATTGTAAAGCCAAACCCTAAACCCTGAGCCCTACAGCCTTAAACCCTGAACCCTAAACCCTGCACACACCAAAGTTTGAACACACACTCCCGAGCGTCTTGCCTCAATGATGTCGAGGAAGACGTGTGCATCTGGAATCTCATCGTAGATCGCTTGCTTTGAAGCTCCCTGACACCGCGTCAGGATTTGGGGTTTAGGGTTTAGGCTTTAGGGCGAAACCTGAATGTTGTCAAGGTTTAGGGTGTGTTTTTGTGTTTAGGGTCAGCTGTTCCTCGAACTCTGTTGAAAAGTTGCTCTGTTCTTAGGGTCACTTGTCTTTACTCCTAACTTAAGCAAAAATGCCGACTAGTTGTGATGTGCAAACGCTAATCCTCAAAACCTGAAAACCAAAAACATGTCCCGAACTCTCATGTCTTGAGAGTTGAGCCTGCCCCATACCTGAGACCCTCTTTAGCTATAGTTTTATGGGTTATACCTACTACTTCCTGTAAGGGTAGTTACTACTAAAACTGTAGGTGAATAGAGTTCCAGGTAAACCCTGCACACCTTGTCTGGAACCCTTGGATCCCAGGGTTGAACCTCAAACTCACCCTAAACCCAAAACCTCACCCTGAACCGAAACCCTCCATGGCGCTAGCTCCATAAGATCTGTAGCCCGAAAGCCTTAAACAACATAAGATGCTGATGTTTAGGGTTTAGGGCCTACAGGGTTTAGCGTTTAGGGTTCAGGGATTGAGGTCTTAATTTAAGGTCTTCTGGGCCTGGGCTTTCTGCTGGTTGTGTAGGACTAGCTTTTCAACAAAGCTCCGGCCGCAGAACATCCGCACATGTTTTTTTCCCCGCCTCGAGGGAGGTGCACAAACCAACAAAGGGTTAAACCCCAGAACCACATCCCTTGAACCCTGGAGCTCCAAACCCGAAAGCCCTTGCACTTGAACCCTAAATCCCTACACCACAAACCCCAAAACCCTTAGAACCATACTCGTAGCCCTAAACCCTAATCCCCTAGACCCTAAACTCTGAACCCCAAAAACCTTGAATGAATTGGGAGCCTGGAACGCGGTGCGCAGATACCTGCCCGCCACGAGGACGACCTGGTCTTCCGGGTTTAGGGTTTAGGGTTTGGGGTTTGGGGTTTAGGGTTTAGGGTTTGGGGTTTAGCGTTTAGGGTTTAGGGTTTTAGGGTTTAGGGTTTAGGGTTTGGGGTTTAGGGTTTAGGGTTTTAGGGTTTAGGGTGTAAAGTTTAAAAGTGCCAGGTGCAAGTTCGACTCCCGCGGTCCGACTGCTCAAGGTAAAGCCACCAAAGAAAGGTGAGGATTCTGGTTTTGGGGTTTAGGGTTTAGGGTTTAGGGTTTAGGGCTAGGGTATATGGGGTTTACAGGGTTCAAAGGGTTTATAGGGTTGAGGGATTTTTGGGGCTCTAGGGTCTTGAGATTTAGGATTGTTGGGTTTGGGGTTTAGGGCTAGCCCAAAGACCCCTCAACCTGCTCTCTCCGCGGCGCCAGTTTTCTCCCTAAACCCTAAACCCTAAACCCTAAACCCTAAACCTCGTAAGGGGACCTTGAGTAGTAATCTAAAGGGTCTTAAGATGCTCGTTCGTAAGGGGTCTTATGTAAAGCTGCGGGGTCTGGGGCTTGCTGGAAAAGTCCCATTTTTGGTGTTGAGGGTTGCGGGTTCTGGTTTTAGCGTTTGCGTTTTTAGGCTCTTGGGTTTAGGGTTTGCGGTTTAGAGCTGAGGGTTTCGGACTGGCTCAGGGTCTAAGTTTCGTATTGTGGTACTATTCATGCTACCCTGTCGTATAAGACCCCGTAATTTCCCCCGGCCCTTCCCCGTGGTACCACCGAACAAGATGCCAGAACCCACTTGTTTCCGGGTTCTCTAAGAAGTTCGGCATCCGTCTCTTTGAGGACCTTAATTCCTAAACCCTACAACCTACACCCTACACCCTAAACCCCTCGCACTGAACCAAGAAAACCACAACGACGGTCTTCTGGGGCAGCTGCGGCCACGTAAAGGCCTGCTGGAGATTGAGGTGCCCCTAAACCCTAAGTCTTAAGCTTAGGGTTTAGGGTTTAGGGTTTAGGGTTTAGGGTTTAGGGTTTAGGGTTTAGGGTTTAGGCTAGGGTATAAGGTTTTAGGGTGAACTCCTGCCGTCTGGAAACAGACGCCAACGACTCTATGCGAGCTACCCGGCAGACAGTGCAAAATCAAGGGTAGGTGACAGTTGTTGGGGTAGTGAGATTTCGACCCCGGCCAGGAAAAGCTTAAACCCTTTAAAACCCTGACAGCAAGGCCCTAAACCCTAAACCTTACCCCAAAACCCTAAAAATCATGAAGCCCTCTGTTTAACAAAAATCTGAACAGGAAGCCAAGAAACCCACTCGTAAGCCCTCAAACTTGGACTCGAGGATCCAAAGCCCCAGACCACGTGGGGTTTAGGGATTAGGGTTTCAGAGGCTTTGGAGCATGGAGCGGTCTCTCTTGGAGGTTTCGGGTTTAGGGCCTTTAGGCTTCAGGGTGATGAGGCTAAAGTACGAGACCTTTTTGGTATCCTCAACTTCTAAGGACTTGGGAGCCCACTAACCATATTACAAGAAGGGTCTATGGTCTGCGGTCTAGGGTTTAGGGTTAAAGGTTGGGTTTTTTTGTTTTAAGGGAAACTTGAACAACAAAGGGTAGAGGGTGCCGCTGGGCTACCAAAGGAGCATGCGACAGCACACAGCCCGAACAGTGGCGCTGGATCGGGAGTGATTGGTCCCACCCTCTACTTGGATCTAAGCCCTAACCTAAACCCCCAATGTAAAGTCATGGTACCCTCATGGGCTTTGGGCTATCTTTTACATACTTTGGGGGTCCAGCAAACCATTCTAAAGCAAGCTCAAGAGTCAACACGCAACACCCTAATAACCCTAAGCCCTAAACCCCAAACATGAATCCTCAAACCCTAAACCCTAAGCCCTAAACACTAAACCCTAAACCCTAAACAGTAAACCCTAAACCCTAAACCCTAAACCCTAAACCCTAAGCCCTAAACCCTAAACCCTAAACCCTAACCCCCTCCAGCCAACAAACATGCAAACCCCAAAGCGCATCCCGGTAGAAGAACGGAAGTGCTGGTGGGCCTAGAGCAGAAGTGTAGCTGCTGCTCGTGTCGCCGGTCACGCCTGGAGTGGAGTTTAGGGTTTAGGGTTTAGGGTTTAGGGTTTAGGGTTTAGGGTTTAGGGTTTAGGGTTTAGGGTTTAGGGTTTAGGGTTTAGGGTTTAGGGTTTAGAGTTTAGGGTTTAGGGTTTAGGGTCTAGGGTCTAGAGTTTAGGTTTAGGGTTAGAAGCAGTCCTATAGCCGCAAATCTCGCATTCTCAGCCCCATTCGACTCTCAGCCCCGAAATTCTAGACGAACCCGTTAGCCATCTGCAGCCCAAAGCCCGGCGACGATTGAAACCCTCAAAAACCTCAAAACCACGATCCTAAACCCTAAACCCTAAACCCTAAACCCTAAACCCTAAACCCTGAACCCTGAACCCTAAACCCTAAACCCTAAACCCTAAACCCTAAACCCTAAACCCTAAACCCTAACCCTAAACCCTAAACCCTAAACCCGAAACCCTAAACCCCAAACCCTAAACCCCAAACCCTCAGCCTAAACCCTGAACCCTGAAACCGTTTCGAGGAATGCCCATATGGGCCTTGGACGTTCACCGACTTCTCCAACTCCACTTTCAGCTGCAGCGGCACAGGCTCCTGTTCGTGCAGCTCCTGAGATGGTTTGGGGTTTAGGGTTTAGGGCTAGGGTTTAGGGTTTAGGGTTTAGTAGGGTTTAGCATTTAGGGTTTAGGGTGTAGAGTTTAGGGTTTAGGGTTTGAAGTTTGGGAAACCCTCAACCCCGAAACCGCAACCGAGCTCTACGCAGGGAATCGGCGATCGGGCAAGATTCAGTGTCATAACAGCTTGTCCTGGGGCGTTTCGGGGACCTACCTTATTCGGTCTTCAGGCAATGTAAACCCTAAACACTGGACCCTAGACTCTAAAGTGCATTGCTACAACCATTAGGTTGGAGGGCGCCGTCGTGGCAATTGTAAACCCTACACCCTAAACCCCTGGGCCATGTGAGGATTCTCAAAATTAGGGCCCCTTCTACTATACAGGGGGGCCGAAACATTTAGGGTACCCAAACAATAATTTTGGTCTAGATTGGAACCCTGCGATACTGCAGAAACCCTAACCATTGTGACATTGTGGGAGCACGCCGCATTTCATGGGTCGTCGGGCTTTGGTCAAGGATTGAGGCTTTGGGGCTGTAGGTTTTAGGGTTTAGGGTATGTAAAACATAAAGCCACTTTACACCCTAAACCCTAAACCCTAAACCCAAAAACCCCAAACCCTAAACCCCAAACCCCAAACCCCAAACCCTAAACCCTAAACCCTAAACCCCAAACCCTAAACCCTAAACCCTAAACCCTAAACCCCTAAACCCTAAACCCTGCGGTGAGGTCGCGGCCGAGCTGTTCCCCGCGTGTGCCAGGACGTCTCTCCATAGCCGGCCCCATCGATGCGGGGCCTAAGGTTTAGGGTTTAGGGTTTAGGGTTTAGGGCACAAGGGCTTAGGGAGGGTTTAGGGTTCAGGGTTTGTGGGTTTTAGGTTTGGCGTGTAGGGCTCCGTGCTAAGGGAAGGTGTGCGACTATGCAGGTCACTCATGAAGGGGGGCCCAACGTGCCTCAGACTCATCTACTCAATACACCCTAAAACCCTAAACCGTAAACCCTAAACCCTGAACCCTATAGGAAAGCCATCGGGAATAGAATGGCCACACCCATTCTCCCCTTGCGAAGGGCGGATTTCAGAGTTTCCGAATATTAAGGCTCCTGCGTTTAGGGCTTCGTGATTTGTGGTACATAAGGGGGGTCTGTCTATTCCTTGCGAAATACCCAGATTTACTAAACCCTAACCCTAAAACCTAAACCCTAAATCCTAAACCCTAACCGGCCCTAAACCCTAAACCCTGAACCCTAAACCCTAAACCCGAAACCTGAAACCCGAAGCCCAACCCTGTCAGCAACCTCAGCCTGAGCCGTCTGCGCAAGAGACGACGCCCGAAGGATTGGAGCAGTTCAGGTCTGCGGGAGCCTGGGGAAGTCTAAGGTTCCAAGTAAATACGAAACCCTACATCCTAAACTCTAAACCCTTGTTATTATACAACCTTTATATACCCTATAGAAGGGTATATAAGCAAAAAGGGCCCATACTTCGGATCCCCCTAAACAGGAGTAAGGGACCATACTACGGGCCCATGGTTCAATTAGAAAGTGTGAGGTCTAGCGGGTCCAGGCCTTTTGGGGTTCGGGAGTTTGGGTTTGGGGTCTTGGAAGATTTTGGGGTTTAGGAATTTGGGTGTAAGGTTTGTGGAGTTTAGGGCCAAGCCCTAAACCCTAAACCCCAAACCCTAAACCGAGTTTAGGGCTTTGCGTTCTCAGGCTTCGAATCTTCGCACGGTGTAAGGTGTCTAGGGTCGGGAGATGCCGGCCTTGGGATGATGCGGGGTTGTAAGTTGTGGGTTCAGGATTTGAGGTGTAGGGTTTAGGGCTTGAAGTTTGGGGGCCTACACAATAAACCCAAAGCAAACCCTAGACTCGAAACCCTAAACCCTAAACCGCTTTGGGCTATGTGGTGCCACAAGGCAAACCATCCTGGAGCCGACCCGAGCTCCTGAAGCCCTAAACCCTAAACAGCCCGCCAACAACATGGCACACAAGCAAACAGGGGTTTAGGGTTTAGGGTCTATAGGGTTTAGGGTTTAGGGTTTTGGGTTTAGGGTTTAGGGTTTAAGGTTTTCGTTCCTCAGGGTACTATGGCTAAAAGGCTTAGGACGTAGGGCCTTCAGATTCAGGGGCGTTCTCGGGTTGAAGTTTCAGGGAGGGCTGAGTGCGGATTCGGGATGCTCTGGTTCTTTGTGAAGACTCCTAAGCCCTGTGGACTTAAGTTTAAGGTGTTTAGGGTTTAGGGTTTAGGGTTGAGGGTTGAGGGTTTAGGGTTTAGAATGATGAGGAAGGCAGCGCTGACCCTCTGCCTAGTGGTACGTAGAATTCCGAGGCTGTGCAAAGTTGCGTTCTGCCGCTATGTGCAACGTCTCATAGCTACGCCCTAGAGAGAAAGATCCTGAGCTGTATGAAGCATGGTAGGGTTTAGGGTTTAGGGATTAGGGTCGAAGGTTTAGGATTCAGGGCTTAGGGCTGGTGGGGGCCCTCTGGGTGCCTTAGAGTTCAGGCTTACAGCAGACCACGAGCCAAGGCAGGCAGGGGGCAATGCCGTAGACAAAGCCCTCGACCGCACCTCTTTCGGTCAGCCTGGAACGCAAAGCATCAAGGTTTAAGGTTTAGGGTTTCGGGTTTCGGGTTCAGGGTTCAGGGTTTAGGGTTTAGGGTTTAGGGATTTAGCCTAAAGTCCTACACGTCCCAAAGCGTGAACCCTACACGCGAAGCCGTGCTTCGATAGCAGCTGTAGCCGCCATGCTCCTCTCCAGGCTCCATAACTATATATAAAATTATATGTGTGCGTGTGTGTTTATGGTTCTTCATGTGTTTTGTCTTCATTAAGGTCTAGAGAGATTAGTTAAGACATCGAAGTGCAGCGGCCAAAAAAGCCGGCCATGTGCGCAGTTGCCCCCATTTGTTGCTTCTTGTGCAGTAGCTGCACTTCTCTTTAGCCTGGCTGGGCAAGATATGTCAGCAGCGTCCTCTGAAGTCTGATGAGCGGCCTCAGCCCTAAGCCCTAACAAAACCCTGACACCCTAAACCCTAAACCCTAAACCCTGAGCAGTACAAACTCTAAGCCACTACCTGGAATCGGACCCCCGCAGTGCAGTGGTCCCAGTGACCCCTCGCCCAAATCATCCCAGGAAGGCCCAATAGTTTAGGGTTTGGGGTTTAGGGTTAGTCGTTTGCTCCAGGGTGCTAAACCCGAATCCCTAAACACTAAACCCCAAACCCTAACCACCCCCCAAAGCTTGCACTTCACCCCAACGAATGCACAAATACTGCGCCAGAGGCTCCCATCGTTGCCCAGGTTGACGCCTTGTGTCATGGTCTTTGTTCTTGCTCTTGGGGTTTAGGGCTTCAGTTTAGGGGTTTGGGGTTTAGGGGCTGAGAGGGCCGGGTCTTCGATTTAAAATTGTTTAGGGTTTAGGGTTTAGGGTTTGGAGTTTGGAGTTTGGGGTTTAGGGACCAAATGCCGCAATGCTTCAGGGCTTGTGTGCTTCAATGAACCGGAAACCTGCCCCGGCCAGCAGCCACCAGAAACTGGCCACCCGAACTCCTACATCTAGCCGGGGGGGAGGATTTAGGGCTCACGCGATTGGGAGGCTCAGGGTTAAGGGTTTAGGGTTTAGGAATTAGGGTTTAGGGTTTAGGGTTTAGGGTTTAGGGATTAGGGTTTAAGGTTTAGGGTTTAGGGTTTAGGGTTTAGGGTGTAGGGTTCAGGCCTTCGGAGGCTCAGGGTTTACGGTGTAGGGTTCAAGTCCGTACCCAAGCGCTCTGAGGCACCGGAAGTCAATCCTGTGCTCCACAGGCCCGAAAAGGGCCCCCAGTCGAAGTCTGGGAAACCGTAAACCCTAAACCCGAAACCCTGAACCCTGAACCCTAAACCCTAAACCCTAAACCGAGTTGCCTCGAAGCGGGACTCGCCTACACACAGGTAGCTCCAACGTACGCGCCGCGCAGCGGAACAGCCAGGCGAAGAACAGATGCAAGTCAGAAATGCCCTCCCACCAGCGGACGAGCTCTGGGGGTTGGGATGTTCCCGTTATACTAACAGTCCTTAAAAGGAGATATAGTACCCCCTATTGGAATCCCTGTTAAGGACTGCTAGTATAAGGGTGAACATTCCAATCTGGGGGAGAAGACTCACACAGAACAAGCTGCTTCAGCCCGACCACACGAAGTGCAGTGGGAGGGACAGATTCGCGTTTGCCACCTTGCAAGGGCAACATCAGTGCATTGAAGCCGGCTCCAGGAAAGTCTGGAAAATTTCCCTAAGCACTAAGCCCCAAACCCTAAACCCGAAACCCCAACCCAACAGCTTGCGGAAACAGCGGAGGGTCTCGCGGAGCTCTTCTGAGGCAGCTTGGAAGTCCCTAATGGTGACCTCGTCTCTTGGTCGCCCAGGAGCCATATTAAAATAAGGGTAAACCTTTGTTGGGGTTGGTTACTTTATAAGGGAACCTTGAACCAACTAGGGAAAATGGTACCACTAGGCTACCAGGGTATCAAAACTACCGAGGGTCAGTCATTCGTCGCTCAGGCCGCTCAAAAAGGCAGCTGAGGGAAAGGGTTTCCCGACAAGCGCCGTACTGGTAACATCAGAAATCTCACCCGCGAACCCCCAAATCAGCTGCCAACTGTACCTAGAGAGCCATTCTTTGTTTAAACAAGCCCCCTACACCCTATTAACCCTAAACCCCCAACCCCAAACCCCAAACACAAAAAAAAACACAAGCCAACCAACACAAAAATCATTCACGCATAGGCCGTCTCGAAGACATCATGGGCCACGGGCGGATGAAACTCCAAGCCCCAGGACCGTAAACTAAGCCCCATCCCGAGAAGCCTGCGACTCCATGTCCCGGGTTTGTTGTTAGGTCTTAGGGTTTACCTTAAACCCTAAGACCTAAACCCTGAACCCTAAACCCTATATATCCTAAACCCTAAACCCTAAACCCTGAACCCTAAACCCTAAACCCTAAACCCTAAACCCTAAACCCTAAACCCTGAACCCTAAACCCCAAACCTCACGCACTGGGCCACGGGCTTGGAGACCAGAGATTCGGTATGTCGAGGCTGGCCTGCCGGGTTTAGGGTTTAGGGTTTAGGGCTTAGGGTTTAGGATTTGGGGTTTGGGGTTTAGGGCTTGGGGAGCTCCAAATCCCTAAGCCCTAAACCCTAAACTCTGAATCCTGAACCCTAAAGCGCAGCTCTAAGGATCTTCGGGTGCTGTTGTTGGATTCAGGGTTCCGGGGAGCCTTCGGATCTGGAATTCAGGCTTAGCATTCGAGTTGTTGGGCTTATAGGACTTAGGATTGCGTTGAGGACACTGCACCCTAAACCCTAAACCCTAAACCCTAAACCCTAAACCCTAAACCCTAAACCCCCTTTGGGCCATAGCCCTGAACCCTCCTGCAGCAGCTAGAGGCCCGAGGTTGGGTCCGCGACCGTCGCACAGCTCGCCCGGTTCGGCGGTTGGGTCGGGTGCAAGGCCAGCACCGCCACGACAACCAGTCGCAGCCGGGAGGAAGTAGGGTTTAGGGTTTAGGGTTTGGGGTTTAGGGTTTAGGGTTTAGGGTTTAGGGTTTAGGGTTGAGGGTTGAGGGGTTTAGGGTTTAGGGCTACTCTTCACATTCTCCAACCCTTGCGCTATAGGATCTTGGGCTCCTGCCTGGAGTCTGGCCCAACGGGCTTCTGAGGGTTGGGTTTATGGTTTAGGGTTTAGGGTTTAGGGTTTAGGGTTGAAGGTTTAGGGTTCAGGGTTTAGGGTTTAGGGTCTCGGGTTCAGGGTTCAGGGTTTAGGGTTTTAGGATTTAGAGTTGAGGGCTTAGGGGTGAAGGTCTAGGTTTAGGGCTTAGGGTAGGGGACCCAAAACCACACAAGCATAAGGATTCTACAAGGGTTTTCCGGAATCCCCAGAACAGGGGCCCTTCTAGCCCAATAATTGGACCCTTATGTTACGTGGGTTTTGGGCCTTTAATGTAGACGTGATCCATGTACCACATGGCGGTCTGCCCGGCCAAAGCCCTTTAACCCAGGAAAACTCTTTAGGGCTTGGTATCGGTTGAGGGCTTGGGCTCTGGGGACTCTACTTGGACCCTAAACCCTAAACCCTAAACCCTAAACCCTAAACCCTAAACCCTAAACCATCCCGAGCCTAGAGCCCTCACGATCCGGCCTCTTCGGGGCCGGGCGTGCTGGCTTGGCCTCAGGCGCTGAAAACCGAAACCCAATGTAGGGTTTAGGGTTTAGGGTTTAGGGTTTAGGGTTTAGGGTTTAGGGTTAGGGTTTAGGGTTTAGGGTTTAGGGTTTACTAAGCTCCCTCAGACATTTTGGGGGGTGGGTGCAATACGCCAAGGTGGGGTCACACGGGATCCCAAATGATCGCAACTCATACACCTCACACAGATCCTCGTGGGAGATAGGACGAGAAGGGTAGATGTTGGGCCTTTTCTCTATTTTTTTTTTTTGGGGGGGGGGGGGGTAAGGGCTCATAAGGGAACATGTGGCCTTCATGTAGATAGAGTCTCTTAAACAAGCCAACCGCCCCTTGAAAGTCTCTCATGCTGGGTTTCTTTTGTGGAGTGCACACCCTTGCGGATGGGCCCCCTAGACCCTAAACCCTAAACCCAAAGACCTTAAACCCTAAACCCTAAACCCTAAACCTAAAGGCCCTAAACCCTAACCCTAAACCCTAGAGGGTACCAAAGGGCCGAGGATGAATCTCCTGAAACCCATAAAGCACCCACAGCCGCTTAGACCTCCTAACCCTAAACCCTAAACCCGAAACCCTGAACCCCCCGAAAACCTAATGGTCTCCAAGGGGTATGTAAGGGTTCCCCAGATTAAGGCAGAAACAAGGGGGCATGAAAACGACCCCAAGAATACAAGCCCCAACGCCTCCCCCCCCCCCCCCCCCCCCCCCCAACTTCGAAGTGCCCTCGCCCCGCTTGGGGTCCCAGCGCCAGAATGCCCTAAACCCCAGGCCCTAAACCCTAAACCCCAAACCCAAAGACCCTAAACCCAAAGACTCTAAACCCGAAACCCTAAACCCTAAACCCTAAACCCTAAACCCTAAACCCTAAACCCTATAAATCCACCCTGAGGCCCCAACGCCAGAATGCCCTGGACTGGTTCAGAAGCATGTCCAGCGGCGAGGAGACCGTGGACTGACAAGTCCAGGGAGGAAACCCCACCGGCGAAAGGGTTTAGGGTTTAGGGTTTAGGGTTTAGGGTTTAGGGTTTAGGGTTTAGGGTTTAGGGTTTAGGAAGAGCAACCTGGGAATAAAAAGGGAGCCCTTCTTGGTTCAAGGAGCTTCTAAGGGGAACCTGAACCCTAAGAACGGGAATAAGGGCCTGCGTTGAGTCCTAGACCGCCCGAAATACCGCCGCCCCCTTTCAGGTACACTTGGGCCCTTCTTAAGGGGTACTTGGGGGGATGCAGGCTTGGGGGTTAGTTTTTTGGGATGGAAAAGGGTGCATTTGTTGTTGAAGGGCGGGGGGGGGGGGGGGGTTTAGACCCTAAACAAGGCAACAAGGGTACTGCTGGGTGTTCGAACTAAAAAACAAGACATCGAGGGGAGTAGAACTGTGGGAGTCCGCAGGCAGCTGCAGCATTCAATAGCTCTAGGATCGCAGCGTGCCCTGAAACCCTAAACCCTAAACCCTAAACCCTAAACCCTAAACCCTAAACCCTAAACCCCTCAACCTGTGGCATCGCTGGTGTTTTCCAGCACACACGCAGGACCCAGGACCCTCATAGCCCTCCCCAGCCTTAAGCCCCAAGGCCCTTCTAACCCCTAAACCCTAAACCCTAAACCTTAAACCCTAAACCCTAAACCCTAACCCTAAACCCTAAATCTTAAAGGGTTTAGGGCTTTGGGCCTGGGCCTGTAGCCCCAGCACAAGAGCCGGGCGTGGGATTTGCTTGGGGTACGTCTATTTGCCTTCCTCTGGATTCCGGGAATTCGTGAAACCCCCCCCCCCCCAAAAAAAAAAAAAAAAAAAAGATCCAACCACCGCGCATACAGGTTCGGTTGCAGTTTTGCGGGTTAAGGGTTAGCGTTTAGCGTTTAGGCATTAGGGGTTAGGGGTTAGGGTTTAGGGTTAGGAGGTTGAAGGCACCGCCCCTCCTCCGTCACTTCCGACGTCGCAGGTGTGGGGCGACAAAGGTGGACGATCCGAGACGGCCAGGCGCTGTTGTCCCCTGTCCAGAAGTAGGTCTTGGGTTTAGGGATTCGAGGACCCTGAAGGGAAAAAACCCTAAACCCTAAACCCTAAACCCTAAACCCTAAACCCTTAATCCTAAACCCTAAACCCTAAACCCTAAACTCTAACCCTAAACCCTAAACCCTAAACCCTAAACCCTAAACCCTAAACCCTAAACCCTAAACCCTAAACCCTAAACCCTAAACTCTAACCCTAAACCCTAAATCTTAAAGGGTTTAGGGCTTTGGGCCTGGGACTTATCATAGGAACCTAAACGAGCTTGGACACCCCCGAAGGTCGGAGGTGCACTGAATTAGGGTTCTTTTTTGGGGGTCCCACATATAATACGGCACCCTTATAAGAAGGACCCCCCCCCCCCCCCTAAACATGAAACACTAACCCCTAAACCCTAAACCCCTAAAACCCCTAAAACCCAAAACCCCTAAACCCTAAACCCTCCCCACCCCCCCCACCAGTCTTAGGGTCTTAGGGAGTCTTAGGGTTTTGGGAACTTAAGAGTTTAGGGTTTCGGGTTTCGGGTTTAGGGGTTAGGGTTTAGGGTTTAGGGTTTAGGGTTTAGGGTTTAGGGTTTAGGGTTTAGGGTTTAGGGCTCAGGGTTGAGGGGGCATCCTGGACCTTGGCGAGGAGCTTGCCCTGGGAGGGTTTAGGGTTCAGGGTTTAGGGTTTAGGGTTTGTAGCCCTGCGAATTACTTGTCCTTCGTCTCCGTCGGCGATCAACAGTCGTGGTGGCTTGGGTGAGCCATCGGATATCTGACCCATCGGTTCCAACCTGATCTTCCCTTTCAGCTTGGACTGTGGGTCGACTGTCCTCAGTAGCCTTGCGAAGGTGTCGTGGAAGCGCTTTGCGGTCCACTTCTTCGCCTTCAAGTTGGAAAATTCGACTTCGGTTGTGGCTCCCGACCCAAGACTCCTGGAAGACAATATGCCGATACCATACATCTCAGCCCTAAGCCCTAAGCCCTAAGTCCTAAGCCCTCCTAAACCCTCAAAACTGAAAACCCTCAAAGCCTCAAATCCTCAAACCTTTACACGCTTAAACCTTCAAACCCTCCAACCTTCAAAACTTTAAAACCTTAAACTCTTAAACCCTTGAACCCTCAAACCCCTGAAACCCTTAAAAACCCTTAAAGACCCTCAAACCCTGCTTTGGAGTAGACCCTGGAAAAAAGGTATATACTTTTCGGTAGAAGTAGCTCTAAAAGGAAGCCAGGACCCAACAAAGCATTAACGTATGGTACTCCTGCAAAGGCTTCAGGGTCAGGGTTTCGTTGGGCTGTTGGGTTTAGGGGTTTAGGGGTTTAGGGGTTTAGGGGTTTAGGGGTTTAGGGGTTTAGGGGTTTAGGGGTTTAGGGGTTTAGGGGTTTAGGGGTTTAGGGTTTAGGGTTTAGGGTTTAGGTTTTAGGGTTTAGGGTTTAGGGTTGGGGTTTAAGGGCAGAGTTTTGTCTTCAGTTCAGGCCCGGGGTCTACATGTTTAGCGTCGTGGGCTTTCTGTCTTAGGGTAGTTCCAGGGTCCCTTAACATGGGCCCTTGAAAAGGGAGCCCTTGGGTTTAGGGTTTAGGGTTTAGGGTTTAGGGTTTAGGGTTTAGGGTTTAGGGTTTAGGGTTTAGGGTTTAGGGTTTAGGGTTTAGGGTTTAGGGTTTAGGGTTTAGGTTCCTAAGAAGAAACGAGGCATCCTGTTCTGTTGAACGGGGCTTTAAAGCTTATGAGGAGACACAAACCCCTTTTTGAAAGGGAATAAGGGGCCCTTGCTTGGTTCCACTTGAATAACTAGACCCAAGAGTACCTAGGAAAAAAAGGGTGCCCTTTGGCTTCATTTTAAGGGAACCTAAACCCCCCCAAAAAGGGAATAAGGGCCTACCCTGGGTCCTAGATAGCGTTTAGGCCTTCAGGATTCGTTTCTGGGAAAAGTTTCGGATCGCAACGTGCAGAGCCTGTTGCGCAGCTGCTCCGAGGGGTACACGAGCCTGTCGCGCACCATATTCGAAACCCTTGAACCCCAATTAAACCCTTAACATAACTTTCAAACCTGAGGCCTCCAATAACAACTTCTTCTTAAGATATAGGGTATTAAGCTTCAGAAGATTCAGGGCTTTCAGTTTGCTTAGGGCCCTAGACCTAAACCCTTCAACCTTTAACTTAATCCTTAAACCGGATCTAACTCATCTAGCTCTACTGGTAGGATCCGCCGAACCCGGTGGAAAGGGTCAGGTGCTCACGGTTAGTTTAGTGCCAGGCGCTGCCTACCCCTACAACACCCGAAGGCCTGATGGAGAACTGGAGAGCTCGGGGATGTGTACTTGCAAGCGCCGTGAAACCAAGCCGTGAAATACGCGAACTTCGAAATATCACCTACCCAAGGCCCTGCCCCGGAAACCCTGAAGCAAACCCAAACCCACACCCCCCACGACGTTCGGGGAATGAAGCTAGACCCAGGAGTAGCCTTGGGATAAAGCGGCTGCCATTTTCGGATATAAAAAGGACTTATGAGGGAACCTAAACCCTGAAAAGGGTGGATAAGGGGCTACTCTGGGTCCGTCCTGGATCTTAAGATGCCCTAACCCTTCCCCCCATTAAGGTACACTTAAGCCCTTATCAAGGGGTACTTGGGGCGACAGCATTCAAAATTTCGGGGTGTTGGGGGGGGGGGGGGGGGGGGGTTTGGGGTTGAGGGCCTGAGCATGTCAGGCGTGAAAGAATTTAGGTTCTGGGATGCCCTCAGCCCGAAGCCAAAAACTCGAAACTTCAGCCCTAAACGCTAAACCCGAAACTCCAAACCCTAAACCCTAAACCCTAAACCCTAAACCCTAAACCCTAAATCCTAAACCCACCCTTAGACCCTGCGGTCCCAGGCACAAATGCTTCTGATGTGCTCCGTCTGCCCCAGCACGGCCCGCGTGAGTGTGTAGCGGAGAACCTCGGACTGGCAACTTAGGGTTTAGGGTTTGGGGTTTAGGGTTTGGGGTTTAGGGTTTGTTGTTTAAGGGTTTGGGGTTTAGGGTTTAGGGTTTGGGGTTCAGGGTTTGGAGTTTAGGGTTTGGGGTTTGGGGTTTAGGGCTTCGGGTTTGGGATGTGATGTAGGGTGTGGGGTTTGGGGTTTAGGGTTTGGGGTCTAAGTAGGCCTTCTAGGGCGTTTAGGGTTCAGTGCTGTCCACGGGGTTTAGGACGTTTAGGGCGTTTAGGGAAATTGTTCGGGTTTTGGGGGGCTTGTGGGCTTTGGGTGTAAAGGACTTCCTTGGGGAGCTTGGCTTCGGGCTTCAGCGCTTTAGGGCCTTCGGGTGTAGGGTGTGGATGGGTTTGGGGATAGCAGCTTTTTCGCCTCAACGTAGTTAGATGTTGTTCTCAGTTGTCCAGGAACCTGGGGGAACTAAAGGATAACCTTGGGGAGTATAAGGGGATTATACTACCCCCCAAAAAAGGTTAAAGGTTACCTACTCTACTACTAGGAACCCTAAACCCTAAACCCTAAACCCTAAACCCTAAACCCTAAACCCGAAACCCTAAACCCTAAACCCTAAACCCTAAACCCTAAACCCTAAACCCTAAACCCTAAACCCTAAACCCTAAACCCTTAAACCCTAAACCCTAAACCCTAAACCCTAAACCGTGGGAAAAACAAAACAAAAACATCTCTCGGGTACCCGCACCCTCAAGGAAAGCCTGCCAAGGAGCGAAGGCAATCGTCACGGGTGGCCCACCCCCAGCTTCCTGGGCGCGGAGGGTTTAGGGTTTTCGGTTTAGGGTTTAGGGTTTACAGTAGGGTTTAGGGTTTAGGGTTTAGGGTTAGGGGTTTAGGGTTTAGGGGGGTTTAGGGGTGTGTAGGGAGGTGTTGGGGGTTTAGGAGTTTAGGTTCTGATAAGGGCCTTTACCCCAAGGCGGCTGCACACCCAAGGCCGCATCCAGAGGGGGCCCACAACCAAGGTTTGCGAAAGGCTTCCATGGCCGGGCCTCGTATTTTAAGGGACTCTGGCTTGCATCCCATGTGTTGTACTCTTGGGTTTGGGGCTTAAGGGGTTAGGGGGGGGGTATAGGGGGTTAGGGCTAGGGTTTAGGGGCTAAACATGCGACAGAATGTGGGGGGGGGGGGGGGGGAATTCGGAGTATTTGAATTTAAGGGCACCCTGTGAGGGCTCCCTTGACATTCGCCGGGTCCCGGACGGTACGATCCAAGATGCTCCGCACCTGGGGGGGAGGGGTTCAGTCATAGTAACCCTAAACCCTAAACCCTAAACCCTAAACCCTAAACCCTAAACCCTAAACCCTAAACCCTAAACCCTAAACCCTAAACCCTAGTTCTGGTCGGAGTCTGGAGCTTGCAGTGTCAGGGTTTCGGTCTACTTGGCCGACTGTTGAACCCCTCCTAAAAGCTTAGCTGGGTTTAGGGTTTAGGGTTTAGGGTTTAGGGTTTAGGGTTTAGGGTTTAGGGTTTAGGGTTTAGGGTTTAGGGTTTAGGGTTTAGGGTTTAGGGTTTAGGGTTTAGGGTTTAGGGTTCCTAAGAGGTAAAGTCCTAAGAGCCAGCCAGAAGAAAGCCATGTCCAGGGGTCTCGGGTTAGGGTGGCTCTAAAGCCGACATCGGGATGGATCTCTGGACTGTTTATGTGGCCTTCCCTACCATGGACTGCAAAGGCAGACTGTCAGGGGACTCCCGGCCACTCCACGGTAAGCTGCTGGGTTTTCAGGACTGGGTTTATAGGGTTTATAGGGTTTGTAGGGTTTATAGGGCTTAGGGTCTAGGGATTAGGGTTGAGGACTCCCAGCCAATTAGGGTGGAATTGGACTTGGGGTTTAGGGCCACCTAGGGTGGAAAGCAAAAGGACACCAAAAGAAAAGCGAGCCCACTGGGAGATCTTAAAAGCTTCGCTTGGCTGCACTCAGAAGGGTAGCTATAAATTAAATTTTTAGCTGCCTTATTAAGAAACCCAATAAACCCAAAAAGGCTAAGGATTTACTTCACAAAGTTCGGGTGAGTCTATTTGGGGGTTTGGGTCAAGGTCCAAATCCTCATAGCCCCTCTCTGGTGCGCCCTGCGCCCAAGGACCATACTATTTGACTTTTTTGGGGGCGCCTAGGAGTAGCCCTAAACCCTAAACCCTAAAGCTAAAACCCTAAACCTCTAAACCCGCCTAAACGCCCAAACCCTAAACCCCGAACCCTAAACCCTACGCTCCCTCCCTCTGTTCCGGCCTCGGCCACCGCTGCTGGGGAGGCCTTAAATCGTACCTATCCAGAGGGGCTTTTTGAGGGGGACTATAAGGGAATACAGCAATGAGTAATTATGCCGACCCCTACATTAGGGTCTGGGGTCTCAACCTCGTGGGGTGTAAGAGCCTTAAATCGTACCTATGTGGGGGTGGCTTTGCAGGGGGCGGGTGGAGGCTTAGGCCAGGTTGCACCTGTGGGTTTGGGGACCCATCTTTAAAGATCCTCCAAAGGTAACCTTAAGGGTGCGAGTCTTAACGCCGTGACAACCCTAAACCCTGACTATAGCCTTATCTGGCTCAATTTGTGGGTATAACCCATAAAACCCTAAACCCTAAACCCCAAACCCCAAACGCCCCCCCCCCCCCCCCCCCCCCCCCTCCAAACCGACTTCCTAACGCCTCAACCCCACGCGGCGGCCTCTGAATGCCAGGGCCATCTAACATCCTGGGTTTTGCAGTGGATGGTGGGGCTGGGGGTTTGGTTTGGAGGTTTCGGGTTCTCTTGTCAAGGCCATACCTAAACCCTAAACCCTACTTGGAGGTTCATGGTACTTACTAACCAATTATAACTCTACTTCTAACCCCACTTATAATACCCCTAAAGGGCCTTGTAGGGGTTATCCCGATAATAAGTAGGGTTATAAGCCCATTTATGAGTGGTTATTAAGTCCCATGAACCTCCAAGTAAACCCTAAACTTATAAACCCTAAACATTAAACCCTAAACCCTAAACCCTAAACCCTAAACCCCAAACCCTACATAGCTTTTGGCAAAAAGCCGTTTCAAAGGCATACGACGATTGTGAGCTACATTCCGTACTCTGCCAGGCTGCCATGGTTTCCCAGCTTAAAACCCTAAAACCACACCACCGAGAGCTCAGGGAGCCTACAACCAGCTTCGGTCCTGAATGTCGATGTCCGTGTTGACGCGGGGATTGTCCCTTGCGACGCAGGGCTTGCTATTGCCCGAGCCGTTTAGGGTTTAGGGTTTTGGGGTTTAGGGTTTAGGGTTTAACCCTATCTGGGATTCACAACATGGCGTTGCTTCATTCATTGGAATGCCGTTTGTAACGGGATTCGGGAGATGCGTGGCTTGTTGGTTGACTGTTTGGCTCAGCCCTACATGGGGGGTGTCCGAAATTAGGGGTACCTTATTGGGGTCCATATTATGAGGGAAGCCTCAAATCCTAAACCCTAAGCCCTAAACCCCCAACCCTAAACCCTAAACCCTACACCCTATTCTCGTCAACCCTAAAGAGGCGCCTGAGGTACTGCTGTTTGGCCGAGACGTTGTAGTTCTGGATCTGCAGCGCCGGTGACTCGAACAGCTGCAACTCCACATACCTCACGCCAGGGCTTGACCCCGAAGCCCTAAGCCCTAAGCCCTAAGCCCGAAGCCCTAAGCCCTAAACCTGAAACCCTAAACCCTAAACCCCAAACCCTAAACCCTAAGCCCGCAAGGGTTTAGGGCTGGCTCCCGGTTCCGGGGAGGGGGCGGGGAGGGGAGTGGGGGGAGGGGGGAGTGGGGGGAGGGGAGGAGTGCATGGGTGGGGGGGGGGGTTGTCCCTAAGATGCTGACCTTAAGCGCAAAACCGCGAACCTCTACAGTAAAGTTGCGAAGACCACCAGGCCTAAACCACTAAGTCCTTTAACGCCCTTACAGCCCAAAGACCTTTATAAGCCGAAAACCCTGAAACCCCATGTTTCTTGGCGCCTGTCTAACTACTTGGCGGACTAGCATTGCGAACCAGCATAAGGGTTTAGGGTTTAGGGTTCAGTGTTCAGGGTTTAGGGTTTCTACGCCAGCCGCACCCATAGTCCCGACATCTCACTCTTGCCGTCTAGGTGTTCGGGAGCCGGGCCATTGAACCCTATCCTAGACCCGGGAGTAACCTAGGAATACAAAGGGTACCCTTTCTGGTTTTAAGGGGATCAGAAGGGAACCCCAACCCCCAAAAAAAAGGAAGAACAAGGGCCTACTCCACGGTCCTAGTATCTCATTACCAAGCCTTCAGCTCGAACCCTCGGGCTCCAAGTATACAAATAATTCCTAGAGTTTGGGGTCTAAAGTCTATAAAGAATACCTAGTTTGGGGTCTAAAGTCTATAAATAATACCTAGTTTGGGGTCTAAAGTCTATAAAGAATACCTACTTTGGGCTATTTTGGAGCCTTAGGGTAACGACTAACAACCCGAGTTGTCCAGTAACCTCGGGGGACTTAAGGGGTTTGCCTTTGGGATTCTAAGGGGAATGTCTTACCCCCAAGGGGGTTAAAGGTTACCTACTCTACTACTAGGCAACCAAGGCTTGCTTCTAAAGGCCTTCAAAGGTTTAGGGTTTAGGGTTTAGGGTTTAGGGTTTAGGGTTCCCCAAACCCAACCTGCAAAGTTCTCGCGCGTGGGCCATTCCTCGGCAGCGGGTTTGAGGTTTAGGGCTGTTAACATAAGCCCTACAAAAGTTGAGGGCCCAGTGTTTTTGGTTGTGGGGTACGTTGTGTTGATGCTAGTGTTACATGGTTTCACGCTGAACCCGGAGCTCTGGAGAGCTGGAGCCTAAACCTACTGCTTATTTTGAGAACCGCCCCAAATCAAACAGGTTTAGGGTTCAGGGTTTACAGTTTAGGGTTTAGGGTTTAGGGTATGCTTCCTTTTATAGGGGGCAATATCGGGATTGCTACCTTTGTTCTTTTTGGTGGTTCGAAAGCAAAGAGTAGAAACCCATGTCAGAAGGCACCCTAAACCCTAAACCCTAAACCCTAGACCCTAGACCCTAGACCCTAAACCCTAAACCCTAAACCCTAAACCATAAACCCTAAACCCTAAACCCTAAACCCCTGTCAGAAAGGCCCAAGGTGCCATAGCAGGCGCTGGCCACCGTCATCTCAAGACTGAGCCGCGCTTCGTCGATCAAGACCTGGGTTTAGGGTTTAGGGTTTAGGGTTTAGGGTTTAGGGTTTAGGGTTTAGGGTTTAGGGTTTAGGGTTTAGGGCTTGGGGTTAAGGGTTTAGACTTTGGGGTTTCGGGTTAAGGGTTTAGGGTTTTAGGGTTTGGGGTTTAGGGATTTAGGGTTTAGAGTTTGGGGTTCAGGGTTTAGTTTAGGGTTTCGGGTTTGGGGTTTAGGGTTTAGGGGTTTAGGGCTTCGGGTTTTGGGCTTCTAGGAGTCTATAGGGTTTAGGGTTTAGGGTCAGATTAGGGTTTAGAGTTTAGGGATTAGCTACAACATGCTGCAACTCGCAGCCCGCATAATCACCCTAAACCCTAAACCCTAAACCCTAAACCCTAAACCCTAAACCCTAAATCCTAAACCCTAAACCCTAACCCTCTAAACACACGGCCAGGACGTGGAGTTTGCTGGGACAGGCAGGATCCGGAGGCTTGACTTCATCTCACGGTTGAACCGACTGGGAGGTTCGTGGTACCTAGGCTTAAAAAGGGTGCCCTTTTTTGCTTAAAGGGGTTTATAAGGGAGCCTAAACCCCCCCAAAAAGGGAATAAGGGTACTACTGGGCAGCCTAGCAACTATAACTGTACTTGTAACCATATTGGGGCACTTAAGGGGCTTATAAGCGCGTTATAAGTACAGTTATAATGGGTGAAAAGTACCATGAACCTCCAAGTAGGGTTCCAAGTACGGCCCCTTAGTTGGGGTCCCTTTGTGATATAATATAACCCGGTATATACACTATACATAATAGTGGCCCATAAATACTTCGGCTCCTTTTTAAACAAGGGTAAGAGGCTATACTAATGGCCCAGGTTCCGACCTTAGAAAGTGCAGACCCTTAGGCTTTTGGGGGCTAGGATTGGCCTTGTAGGGTTGGGGGTGTCCTAAGCGACGAAGTAGACCCTTTCACGAGCTAAGCCCTATAAACCCGAAACCCTAAACCCTACACATGGGTTTAGGGTTTAGAGGGTTTAGGGCTTTGGGTTTAGGACTTCCGAAGCCTCACACCTTCAGCAAGACTTGCCACAAGAAAGGGCTTGGGATTGACGGCTCGGGGGGTGACAAGCAGCCTGGACGAACACAAATGAACATACTGAAAAAAAGTCGAAGTTCAGCAGCGCCGGTGGACCGCTACGTTAGGGTCTCCGACACGAGCCTCAACCCTCAACACCCTAAACCCTCAACACCCTAGGCCCAAAAAAACCCTAAGCCCTCAACACCCTAACCCAAAAAACCCTAAGCCCTCAACCCTCAGCCCGACACATCCCTAAACACCCTAAACCCAAAAAAAAAAGCCCTCAACCCTCAGCCCGACACATCCCCTAAACCCCCTAAAGCGCAGGCGAAGGGTCGGTGTTCGGAAATGGCGAGATGGGAGAGAAGATGATGATGGGCATGAGAATGACCAGAATCACCTAGGGTTTAGGGTTTAGGGGTTTAGGGTTTAGGGTTTAGGGTTAGGGTTTAGGGTTTAGGGTTTAGGGTTTAGGGTTTAGGGTTTAGGGTTTAGGGTTTAGGGTTTAGGGTTTAGGGTTTAGGTTAGGGTTTAGGGTTTAGGGTTTAGGGTTTAGGGTTTAGGGTTTAGGGTTTAGGGTTTAGGGTTTAGGGTTTAGGGTTTAGGGTTTAGGGCTCAGGGTTAAGGCCAAGCCCTGAAAACGCGGGCTTTGCTTGGGTGGTTGACGGTTTTGGCAGGGCATGGATGATTGAGGGTTTAGGGTTTAGGGTTTAGGACTGTAGGAGCAGTTGGGTTGAGCGTGGCATGGTGTAGGGTGTCTCGGGTCTCGCAAATAGGGGGCGGTTGAGGGTCTTGTGAACAGGGGCTTGGTGCTTTTGCCATCGTTCAAGTGAGCTCATTGTAGGATTGGGGCGTGTACGGAGCTAAGAGGAAGTGGGGATTTCTGGAGGGTTGCTTTGCGGTATTTGAGGGGGGGGGGGGGAGGATAAGTAAGCCTTCAAGCCAAAAGAGCACATCGTAGGTGTGATGTAGGACTCTGGGCCCCATCGGGGAACAGGATTGCTACGAGCGAGCAGCCCAGAACAAGCGTCGAGACTCCCCCCGAAAGCTGTAGACCCTAGACCCTCGACCCTAAGCCGCAAACCCAATATGTCCTAAACCCTAAACCCTAAACCCTGAACCCTCAACCCTAATCCTAGACTCCATTTTGAGTACCTGCAGGCCCCTGTTACGGGGCACATGGGGTTCCGGGAAAAAAACCTACACCCGGTGTAGGCGAGGAAGCATCGACATAGCCCGACCTAGAACCAAAAGTAAGGTTCAAGCCCCCCCCCCCCCCCCTCCCGGCCGGGCTGCATGCGGCTTAGGGACACAACACCCTAGATGTTCACCCCGAAAACACCCATAAACCCTAAACCCTCAGCCCTAAACCCTAAACATCCGCCCTAAACCCTAAACGATCAGCCCTAAACCCGAACCCTAAACCTCCGCCCCCCCTCCGCTTCTCTTACACCCAAGCGTCCAAGCAAAGGATCGCCCAGCCGCTATACACCTTCTCCTGGGTGCGTGTTGGGTTAGCGTTTAGGGTTTAGGGTTTAGGGTTTAGGGTTTGGGGTTTGGGGTTTGGGGTTTGGGGTTTGGGGTTTGGGGTTTGGGGTTTGGGGTTTGGGGTTTAGGGTTTAGTCACCCCTAAATCATGAACTCCGAACCCGACCACAGACTCCGCGGCCTTTAGGCCCGATAGGGCTGAGGATTTAGTAGAAGATTTAGGATTTAGGGTTTAGCTTAGAGTGTAGGATTTAAGTTAGGGCTGAGGGTTTGGGGTGTAGGATTTAGGGTTTAAGAGAGATTGAGATTCACGGGTCGGCATAGGACTTGAGACTGGAAAATCTCGGGTTTAGTAGTTTAGGAAATATAGGGTTCGATGGGGGTTTAGTGCTTTTGCGTAGGGTTTGAACGAGGTTTGGGGGGAGTGAACTGGAATTAAATCTCTCTAATGTTCGGGGGGGTACATAATGGGTGAAGGGGGTTCCAGGTCCCAGGTTATTGGAGGCGTTCCGTGCAAGATCTGGGTTAGGGCATTCGGGATTCTACAGGGCTTGGGGCGCAGGCTTCTGGTTTGGTCTAGATGTCGTGTTGGGGGCTTTGCGCAACCCTCTAGACTCTAAACCCTCATCCCTCGACCCTCAAACTCAACCCTAAACTTGAGACCCTAAACCCTAAACCCTAAACCCTAAACCCTAAACCCTAAACCCTAAGCCCTAAACCCTAAACTCTAAACCCTAAACATGAGCCGAACCAAAGGTTGGACGCAAGAAGTTCTGGAGCTGTTCTTCTCGGGCCTGAATCCAGGGTCGATATTTTCAGGAGCTGAGGAGCTGAGGGGCTGAGGGCTTAGGGTTTAGGGTTTAGGGTTTAGGGTTTAGGGTTTATAGGGTTTAGGGTTTAGGGTTTAGGGTTTAGGGTTTAGGGTTTAGGGTTTAGGGTTTAGGGTTTAGGGTTTAGGGTTTAGGGTTTAGGGTTTAGGGTTTAGGGCTGAGGGTTTAGGGCTTAGGTAGGGGATAGGATTAGGGGGACCCTTGGGGATAAAGACCCTCTGAATAAGGTCCTTGTTTAAGAGAGCCAGAAGGGGGTTCAAAAGGGGTTCCCTTTTCAGGGTCCCCCTTATCCTACCTAGGATAGAGTGCCGCCAGCGTGCAAGAGAATCCCGCTCTTCCGCGTAGTACGACTGGCTCCGGACGAACATGACGTGCCTGTGCCGCACACGAACCCTGAGCTATCTCCCGAAACCCTGAACCCTAAACCCTAAACCCTAAACCCTAAACCCTGAACCCAGAACCCTGAACTCTACACCCTAAACTGCATCGTGGCACTTTTTCAGGCTTCGGGATTGTAAGGGGAACATCTGGCTCTGCGTTACGAACGAGGCACTTGGAACAGCGAACAGCCTTTTAGCCCAGAAACCCTAGACACTGGATCGCAAGAAGCCCTAAGCCCTGAAGACTTAAACCCTAAATCCTAAGCCGTGTTCTTTTCAAGCCTCAGGAGGCACGCTCTAAGCAGGGTCCGCATCCAGGAAATGCGGCTCATGCCCCATCATAATCTATACACACACTCGTACCACCGAACCTCAGGTACCGGGTGGGGGAGGCAGGGGGGGGGGGGGGGGGGGGGGGCACAAACCCTGAAACGATCTCTAAATGAAAAAAAGAAGCCCTACACCCAACAGGTCTTTTCTAAACCAAGGGCTCTGAGCCCAGGAGTAGCCTAGGAATGGAAAGGGTGCCCTTGATTGCTTATGAAGGGGCTTGTTAAGGGAACCCAAACCGTAAAAAAGGGAATAACGGCCCACTCTGGGTCCTAGAAGGGCTTCAATTAGGGTTTAGGGTTTAGGGTTTAGGGTTTAGGGTTACGTAGGGTTTAGGGTTTAGGGTTTAGGGTTTAGGGTTTAGGGTTTAGGGTTTAGGGTTTAGGGTTTAGGGTTTAGGGTTTAGGGTTTAGGGTTTAGGGAAAACTTTGCAAACGCGCCTGGAACGATAGAACACCGTGTGCGCGTCTTCGACTTTCCTTGGCCCAGCGGCGGTGATTAGGGGGGCTAGCTACACTTGTAGGGCTTCTAGGGGAGGGGGGCGGGGGGTGTAGGATGTTTATAATGGGGTTTGGGAATTCGATAGGGCGTATAGGGATTAGGGCTTGGGCTTCTAGGCATGCTGACTGCCTGCAACTGTCGGCGAGTGTCTATGCTGTACTCTACAAGCCCTCCGAGCTTGGGATTCTGGGGGTTTAGGGTTTAGGGTTTAGGGTTTAGGGTTTAGGGTTTAGGGTGTAGGGTGTTGGGTTCAGGGTTTAGCGTGTTGAGCAGCCTGCAGGGGCACACCGGTTCTAGGCATTACAATTATGGATGATTAACGGCTTCAGAGCTTCAAAGGGCTTCAAGGTTTAGCGTGGGGGTGGGTTCGGCTTCAATGACCCTAAACCAAATGAACCCTAAACCAAATGAACCCTAAACCCAAACCCCAAACCCTAAACCCTGAATGCCTACATCCCTGACACCCTCGGTCCCAGAGCACTCTGATGCCTTTGGCTGCAAACCCTAAACCCTAAACCCTAAACCCTAAACCCTAAACCCTAAACCCTAAACCCTAAACCCTAAACCCTGCAGCCAGGTGGCCAATACATCCACAGGTCGAGGCTCGTCGGGGCCTGGGGCATCCCTAACCTCAGAAACACCTTTGGGTTAGGCTAGGGTTGAAGGTTTAGGGTTTAGGGTTTAGGGTTTAGGGTTTAGGGTTTAGGGTTTAGGGTTTAGGGTTTAGGGTTTAGGGTTTAGGGCTTAGGGCTTAGGGCTTAGGGCTTAGGGTTTAGGGTTGGGTTTAGGGTTTAGGGTTTAAGGTTCTGGGTTCTGGGTTTAGGGTTTTGGGTTTACAAGGTGCTGGGTGAAATTGGGGCGAGTTAGGGTTTAGGGTGTGCAGGCTTTCGGGGAAATTTAGGGGCTTGAGGGTTTTGGGGGATCCGGCAGCTTGATTGCTCAACCTGCAAAAGTGCCTAGCAGCCAAACACGCCCCAAAGCGTGAATTTGCTAGTTCCGCCCTTACGCTCTAGATGAACCTCAAACCCTCAAACCCTGCACCCTCAACCTGAAATCCTGAACGCCTGAACCCTGCTCCCTAGCCTAAGCCATCGTCCGTGAATCACTAAATCTACACCCTTGAACACTCGATACACAAGTAGCACAGAGCCTACACCCTTCAACCCTGTACCCTGAATCAACTTGGCTTTTCGGAGGTTAAATGTCTATTTCCCAAAATAGGGGTACCCCTTTTATACCCAAATAGAATAACCCCCCCCCTCCGCCCCCCCCAAGGGATCATCCCATATAAGGTTACCTATGACTCGACTACTATGCCGAAGACCAAGCAGGAGTCGGCCCCTAAGCTGCGTGCCACGGTCCAGTCGACGATGATGCGGATGTCGTCCACGAAGGGCATGTTGTAGTGGAAGAGGAAAGCAAAGTAGCAGATCTTCTCCTGAGCAGCTGCGAGGTGGAGAGTCTACCTGAAGGCTCCAATGTCCTTCCTTTTTGGGTTCGTTTTAGGGGATTCTAATATTAATATACAACCCAAAAAGGTGCTACACAGCAGCCTTTCGGGTAGTGGGTTTGGGGTTTAGGGTGTAGGGCTTAGTTTGCTTGGGGCGGTTTGGGTTTAGGTAGGGTTTAGGGCTTCGTTGAGGGGTCGGGGTTGAAAGCTAAAGGGTTTCCTACACAGCTCACACCCTCTAAGCCCCACATTCTTCACCGCCCTTGCGGCTCACCAGGATGTAGGATGAAGCAGTGGGTCTTCCCCCTGGTTCTTAGTAGGGAATGAGGGAATGATGGCCCTATATAATCCCTTAAAGGATATTTATAGGGCCCTCATTCCCTCAACCCTAAACCCTCAACCCCTAAACACCAGCCAGTCTTGGGGCATGGGTGTTGACTTGGGAGCGGGTCTATCCAGCTTCACAGCGGAAGTTCCGGTGAGATTGGGGAGCTGAACCGCGACCCCCAAACTAAGACCCTAAACCCGAAATTGCCTCCGAAACCCTAAACCCTAAGCCCTAAACCCTAAACCCTAAAACCCTAAACCCCAAACCCTAAATTACCCAAACCACGCGCCACGCTTCTGTGATGACCGATCTGGCCGAGTAAAGCGACGCCGTCCTGGCAAGTGGAAGGGCGTGTTCGGATGTATGAAGGTTTAGGGCTTTTAGGGCTTTTAGGGCTTTTAGGGGGTTTAGGGTTTAGGGTTTAGGGTTTAGGGTTTAGGGTTTAGGGTTTAGGGTTTAGGGTTTAGGGTTTAGGGTTTAGGGTTTAGGGTTTAGGGTATCCGGGTTCAACCTCTCCGAACCTTAGTGGACATGAACAAAATTTGGAGGATCAAGATTACCAAGAACGACTTGACATTTCAAAACAAGCTTTACGAATTTCAGGGCTCTAACAAATACGAGTTACAGCCTCTGGAACTGCTCGAGCGTGGTAGTCAACAGGGGGAAGCTCTCACAATTTTTCAGAGCTGTTACATCATCCTATGAGACTTGCCTACTAGGCTGCCGGCGCAGTAAAGGGGCGATGTTGAAACCAAAAATGCAAAACCTGATGTTTGCAACATTTTTTGCTGCTTAAGCACGTGGCCTTGCTAGATTTTGCACACAAAATTGGCCCTAAACCCTAAACCCTAAACCCTAAACCCTTTTGCACTTCAGATTGAACTTCTCCGTGGTGAATTTGTGCGACGAAGGTCGGTTTACCAACGAACTTTCTTGGAATTGAGCAGGCTCACTTTGCACACAGATCTACAGACAATTCGCAAATTTCTTTGCACAGGTTCCACATCTTCACATTCATCTTCAAGTTTTCTCAGAAATTGAAAGTTCAAAAAAAAATGACATTTGGAGGCTTAGGGTTTAGAGGGTTGAGAGTGAAGGGCTTAGGGGTTAAAAGGTTTCTGGTCTGCCGCAAAAGTCGGCACTTTTTTTGGTCACCAAGAAACCAGACAATCATAGGGGCAACCTCTGTTCTTGTTTCGTTTATAAAAAAACCTCGAACCCAAACAATGGGCAAAAGGGTTCGCTGGGCAACCCTAAACCCTAAGCCCTGAACCCTCAACTCCAAACCCTCAACCCTCAACCCTCAACCCTAAACCCTAAACCCCACATCCCAAACCCTAAGCCCTAAACCCCAAACCCCAAACCCCAAACCCCAAACCCTAAACCCTAAACCCTCCATCGCGGCCGGTTCGCTTCGGCCGAAGCGAGTCGTTACTGAGGGAGGGCAGCGAATGCTTGATCTGCAGCATGCAGACCATCAGGTAGAGCATCCCGCCTGGGCGTTTAGGGTTTAGGGTTTAGGGTTGAGGGTTGAGGGTTTGGAATGGTTTGCAGTTCAAGGTTCAAAGCCTTAGGGCTTGGAATGGTGTCTTAGAGTTCAGGGGCTCAAACCCAAGATTTCAGAGTCAGCGGCTTCTACCACACAAAGGCCCATTTCAAACATCCCGCAATAACACAACCCCAAAGCATGCGCAAAGCAGCCGGAACTCAGGAAACGACAGTGCTGCAAAGAGGACGACGCAAAAAAGGGCTTACGAGATGCTACCAAACCTTGAAAGAAGCATCGATGATGCCTTCTGCCGTTTGAGGCAGCTAAGGTTTAAAGTTTGGGATTTAGGGTGTTTAGGGTTTAGGGTTTAGGGTTTAGGGTGGGTTTAGGGCATAGTAAACACTGCAAAGGCTAGGGCAGGCCTCTAGGCAAGCACTCCAAACCCTGTACTGGAAGCCAGAGAAGGCCCAAACCCTAAACCCTAAGCCCTGAACCCTAAACCCTAAACCCTAAACCCTAAACCCTGAACCCTAAACCCTAAACCCTAAACCCTGAACCCTAAACCCTAAACCCTAAACCCTAAACCCTAAACCCTAAACCCTAAACCCTAAGCCAAGTTACAGAGGTAGTAAATGCAGAGCTCAAAGTCACTGGCCAGGGAGATCGTTGCTTCACGCGCGTTCACGGAAGTGAAGAGGATCCTCCGATGCGGGCTTATGTGAATCAGGGTTTAGGGTTCAGGATTCAGGGTTTGGCGTTTTATATTACTGTTATTGGTGAGTGTATAGAAATATAAACCCTACTTTATGTGGTGGGGTGGGGTGGGGGTGGTAAGGATTTAGGAATGGGGTGGTTAGGGTTTAGGAATGGGGTTTAGGAATGGGGTTTGGGGAGGTTTGGGGAGGTTTGGGGAGGTTTGGGGAGGTTTGGGGAGGTAAGGGGGTTTGGGGGTTTGGGGGGTTTAGGACTTGAGGGTTTAGGGCATTCGGGCTTTAGATTGATGCTAGCGTTTCCTTCAGCATCATACCCTTGACGAACCAAGGGCCCATGCTTCAGAACCCTTTTGGGGAGGTCAGAGACCACCTTACTTGCCCATGCAACTACCCCTTAGCTGGTTCATAGTTGGGATAGTAATAAAAAATTAAAAATCTTATTCTTATTGAGTTTAAGTACCCTTAAAAATGTAAAATGTTATCCCACTATGACAAAGTTAGAGGGTTTAGGAATCCAAACTGACCACGCCAGCAAAACATCAAGTCCAAGGGACGCCATGGTGTGGTAGTGCAGAAATACAAACTCTGCAAAGAAGATCCTGGCAAGCTGCAGCTACAGTCTCTGTGAAACATCTCGAGAATATGAGTAAGGGTCACAACTTAGAAGTTCACAAGCCCACCCTAAACCCTAAACCCTAAACCCTAAGCCTTAAACCCTAAACCCAAAACCCAAAACCCTAAACCCTAAAAAAAGAAACAAGTGCACGCTTGCAATTCTTATAGGGGATTGTCCTATCCAAAAGATTTGAAGTGTACTCATTCAGCTACTAAGACGAGTCACCATCCGCGTCATATGTAGCAAGAATAGAGTTGATGCTCTCAAACGCAAATCTAATGAATCCCAAAGCCCCCAGGACTAATCCCCCCCCCCCCCCCCCCCCCCCGGATCACGAACCCCAGCAACTTCAATCCCATCAAGGTCAAAGGTACAGGGCACAGGCATCTTTGGATGAGTCCTTACCATCCTCATGCAATAATACGAATCATAATACTAGTAATGATATGAATACTAATAACCAGTTCAGCATATTCGAAAGGGTTTAGAGGTTTCGAGTTTCGGGTGGAGATCCTGCACGAAGTGCCCGATGATGAAGCCCAAAGGCAAGAGGCTTGAGGGTTTTGGGCTTTAGGGCTTCTAGGCTTTTAAGCCTCAAGGTGTTTTAGGGGTTTTCAGGGTTCAGAGTTGAGGTTTCTGGCCTTTAGGAGGCCTGCATCATGCCTGGAAGGGACTTCCCACAAACCCTAAACCCTAAACCCTAAACCCTCAACCCTAAACCCTAAACCCTGAACCCTAAACCCTAAACCCTAAACAACAATACGCAAACACTCCAGACTCTATTTGCCTCGAGGTTACTGGCGCGGCTTGCTTCATGACGACACACTTCGGGGGCCCCCCTAAACCCTAAACCCTAAACCCTGAACCGTAAACCTTAAACCCTAAACCCTAAACCCTAAACCCTAAACCCGTGTTGAGACTATAGAAACGTTCAACAAAAGAAAACGCCAAAACCCCAAACCAACCAACCTAAACCTGCCCAACTCTTGACCCTAAACCCTAAACCCTAGACCCTCAACTCTTCCTTTTCACTCCCTCCCCAGACCCCTGGAAGGAACTAAACGCCCGATATAGGGTTTAGGGCTACGCTTGCGTGCGGCTTAGGGACTATAGATCCTAGGGTTCTACAGCAAGCCTGACATAAGCGGAGCTAGGTTCTGGTCACCGAAAACGCCAAAACCTGGACTCTTGCACCAAGATGCCATATGCTGATGAGCTCCTCGGAAAAGGCATGGCAGGCAGAAGATTGAGGGTCTACAGAGTTAGGGCTTGGGGTTTAGGATCTAGGGTTTTTGGGAATAGGGCTTAGGGTGTGGGGGCGCAGGGTCGTTCCCTGAAGCTCTTTTGGGTGTGCGCCGTGCGCGTTGGGAGAACTTCAACAGGGTGCCGGGGTGTTGGGCTTCGGGGCTGGGATCTAGCGGAATCTAGCACCCAGAATGAGGTTTTGCAGCCATGTAGGGTTTACGGTTTAGAGTTGGGAGGTCATGTGGGGGGAGGGGGGGGGTTGTAACAAACTCAAAGACCCTTCACTCCAAAGCCCCAAGCCCTAACCCTAAACCCTAAACCCTAAACCCTAAACCCTAAACCCTAAACCCTAAACCCTAAACCCTAAACCCTAAACCCTAAACCCTTACATTTCAGGTAAAAGAGCCCAGTCAGTAAAAGCTGAGTTGCGATGATGTGCAGCGTCCAGCGGCTCCTGTGTCAGGATGCATCACACATCAAGGATAGGTTTGGGGCTTCTAGGGTTTAGGGTTCAGTGTCTAGGTTTTGGGGTTTAGGGCTAAGAGCTTTGGATATACCAGCCGCCAACAGCCCTGCACGAAAATACCTGTACAGTCCCTATACAACACACCTCAGAGTCCCCTGAGCATGGAGCTTGGCTCTCAAAGTATCAAGAAGCATGGGCCACCACGACCCCCGGCAAGTGCGGGATATGTACAGTTCTCGATGTCCCGTTTTTCCTCGTGTACCTCTCATAGTATGGAGCTTATTGGTTCAGGTAACCCCCAAGTACTGCCAAGAAGAGGCCACAACAGCTCCGCGGTTTGGGCACGCTACAACAGCCCCCCCTCTTTGCCCAGGCCTCGTGCTGTAGTGGGCTTTGAAGAAGATGCGATCAGAAATCAGCATCGCCAGGTGCGCCACGATCCTAGAGAACACTGAGGGTTTAGGGTTTAGGGTTTTGGTTTAGGGTTTAGGGTTTAGGGTTTAGGGTTTTGGGTTCAGGGTTCTGGGTTCAGGGCTTAGGGCCCTCCGCCCCCCTCCCCCAAACAGTTTTAAGGACTTGTGACCTTGGTGGAGGTTGGGGGAGGGGAGGGGAGAGGGGAAGGGGGGCATGCCCTAAACCCCTACAAAGGCGTGCAAAGGGGGAGGAGAGAGGGGGGGGAGGTGGGGGGCGGGGGAGGGGGAGGGGGGGAGGGGTTTTTGAGCTTGGCCCTCAACCACTCCCACCCTAAAAGCCTAAACCCTAAACCCTAAACCCTAAACCCTAAACCCTAAACCCTAAACCCTAAACCCTAACCCCTCAACCCTAAACCCTAAACCCTAAACCCTAAACCCTAAACCCTAAACCCTAAACCCTAAACCCTAAACCCTAAACCCTAAACCCTAAACCCTAAACCCTACACCACAGAAATAAGTCCACGAGGCAGCAGCATGGTGGCCACGCTGAAACTGCTCTCCTGGCAGAGAGCGAAGCTCGCGTCCCTAAACCCTAAACCGTAAACCACACTCTGTAGGCTGTGCAGGTTGGGCTGAGATGAGACCTGCACGCCTAAACCCTAAACCCTAAACCCTAAACCCTAAACCCTAAACCCTAAACCCTAAACCCTAAACCCTAAACCCCCTACGAGCCCCCAAGGCCCCATCTGTTCGCCGCATCCCTTCTATAGCCCTAAAAAACTCAAGCCTCTACACCGCACCCCTTAAGCCAAGGTCCCTTCTGTGTTTTTCCCTTTCTTAGACCATCTCCCCCCCCCCCCCCCCCCCCCCCCCCGCAGTTTAGGGTTTAGGGTTTAGGGTTTAGGGTTTTTGAGTTGAGGTTCCGTTCTTCAATTTGAGACAAGAAGGCTTCAGGGGTCCTGCAGCCAGCTCCTTGCCTAGGAGTGGCTGTTAAAGGCGGCTAACCTTTGCGAATACCATCGAGGTCTACTACCTCCAGAAAAGTTTGTCCAGGACTTAGGGTGACACTCATCATTTCTGTGGCGTCTTCGGAACTGCAAGAAAAGCAAAATACATCAAGATCCCCTAAGCTTAGAGTTAAGCCCAAAACCTTGGGCCCCAAACCGTACAAAAAAACAAAAACAACTAAACCCTGAACCCTGAACCTGAACCCTGAACCCTGAACCCTGAACCCTGAACCCTGAACCCTAAACCCTAAACCCTAAACCCTAAACCCTAAACCCTAAACCCTAAACCCTAAACCCTAAACCCTAAACCCTAAACCCTAAACCCTAACCTTAGTTGACGCGTTATCGCGGTGTTAAGGCTTCAGGGCTTTAGCGGAAGTCCGGTCCTGCAGGGACTGGGAAAAGGATCGTTCCTCCTCCTTCAGAACGGCCTTGTTGGAGCTTGCTTTCTTATAGGGTTGAGGGCGTGAGGTTTAAGTGTGTGAAGGTTTAAGGCTAGAACCCTAAACCCTAAACCCTAAACCCTAAACCCTAAACCCTAAACCCTAAACCCTAAACCCTAACCCTAAACCCTAAACCCGAAAAGAAGGCATCCAGGGTTTAAGAGTTTAAGGGCTTTAGGTTGAAGGGACGAGTGTTGTAGGGTGACGCCCTCAGGCCTATCCTCCTCAGCCCCACCAAGTAATCCACAAGCTGCCAAGCTCAGGATGTAGCTCGTGCCTATGTGGGTTGAGCCACACATGTACATGGACAGAAGAGTTTAGGGTTTAGGCTTTAGGGTTTTGGGTTTAGGGCTTGGGGTTTAGGGTAACTCAAGACTAGGATAAGCAAGAAGCGACCACACCGGAGAGTCAGAGTGTTGTTCAGAGTTGCCCCTTGGTCACCTTGATCGCGCAAGACAGAAGCCATGGTGATGAAATCAAAGTCCCTGAACCCTAAACCCTAAAAACCCTGAAACCTTAAACCCTAAAACCCTAAAACCCTAAAACCCTAAAACCCTAAAACCCTAAAACCCTAAAACCCTAAAACCCTAAAAACCCTAAAACCCTAAAAACCTAAAACCCTAAAACCCTAAAACCCTAAACCCTAAACCTTCCACGAGAGCGGGCCGTAAGCCCTTCATTGGGTGGGCCATGGTCCCTTCGACGTACTTAGAGGGTCTGGGAAACATCCCGATCCCCAGAGAACCCTTAGACCTCTTAACCCTAAACCCTAAACCCTAAACCCTGAACCCTAAACCCTAAACCCTAAACCCTAAACCCTAAACCCTAAACCCTAAACCCTAAACCCTAAACCCTAAACCCCTCTTAATCCCTTCGCATCCGCGGAGCCCTGTTATTCAGCAGCGTGTAGCAGAGCATGAGAAGGGCCAGGCCATACCTTTGCAGGGCTTGGGGTTTACGGGCTTTGGGCTTGCAGGGTTTAGGGTTTAGGGTTTTAGGTTTTAGGGTTTAGGGTTCGGGCTTCAGGGTTTAAGGGCATTGGGGGCATTAGAGGCCAAAGGGGTTAAAGTTCGATTTTGGCATTCAGGGCTGAGGGTTTAGGGTTTTAGGGCTGTTGTGGTTTAAGGGCTTTAGGGATTCAGGGCATTATAGGGGCTAAAGGGATTAAAGTTGACACTTTTTTGTTTTCAGGGCTGAGGGTTTAGGGCTTTATGTAACACGGGATCGAGCTGAGGGGCTCAAGGTGCTTCATGACTTGCTTTTGTTTTGATGCCAGTAGGGCTTAGGGATTGGGGCTTTGGGATTTCCAAGGGTTTGGAAGGCTTTGTAGTTGAAGTGGAATACAAGGTTGAGGATTTTAGGGTTAGTGCTTCAAAAACAACTACGACTAAGCCACTGGACACGGTCAAGGTTGCGCAAGGAGGGACGAGCAACCACAATCCTCAACCCAGAAGTGTGACAAAAGTTCGGCCATACCAACACGCCGAACTGAGAAAGCGATCCAGCTTCGTGGTCTTAGGCTTAATACCCTCCCAAAACACCTAAGCCTTTTGATTAGGATGGTGCAGAATGGTGTTTAGCTTCAAGGGCCGTTGGGTTTTCTGGCCGCTGTATGAACTTGCAGGCGAGCAACTTGGCGCCGTAGAGCGAAATACCTCGACACAGGTCCAGACCACCCCTGTATGTTGTTTTCTAGATTTTGGGGTATTCTGAGAAGTACACTTTATAATCGTCTTTATGTTCGGAACTTTCAAGAGAAACCCCTTTTGAATTCTGAGCCAGAGA